TACTTGCAGGTGGAGGATTAGCCAAATGAGCCACCGTGCTGGGAGCCAGGAACTTCTGGGTCTCCAACGTGGTACAGAGGCACGAGATTGGGACATCTACTGCATTTCCCAACCCATGAGCAGTGGTGCAGCTGGAACTTGAACCAGCACCCATTGGGGATGCCAGTGCTGCAGGCAACAGCTTAACGTGCCACACCACAGTGCTAGCCCCACAAATAAATCTTCAAACCAACCAACCAACCAGGAAAGTGCAGGGAGGGTTCTAATGTTGTATTTAGCTTACAAAGTCAGATGCATGCAGGGAAGACCGCCTGACCTGCAAGTGCGTTGAGTTTGCTTCCCATCTCTGCCTCCTGAGCCCAGCTTCCTGCTACCACAGACCCTGGGAGGCAGTGGAGATGACACAAGTGGTCACCCTGCCATCATGTGGGAGACCTGGCCCGAGCTGCTGGCTCCCATCTTCAGCCCCGCCCCCCACCTCCACTAGTCTCTTTCTGCCTCTCTAAGTCATTTTTATTGCAATTTTAACAAGCAGAACAGGAACAACAGGCTTTCTAAGACCAGCTTCTTGCTTTAAGAGTTACAGCCAGACACTCTGTGGGAAGGTACTTTGATCTGTCAAACAAGACAGTGCCACAGCCTAAAACCTTTTATTTTTAAATGTGCTGTTGTCTACGGGATTAAAGCTGGCTGCACTGGTACAGTGGTGCAAACAAACCAAATACGTCTCCAAGCAGCTCAGGATGCCTCATGGCGTCCAAGTCAGTGTCTGGGACTGTACCTGAGGCAGCCAGAAGCAGGCAGCACTTCAGGCTGAAGGTGGCACCGAAACAGGGTTTGGTCTCACAGGCAGGTACCTGTGCAAAGTATTTTAGCTTCTTCAGACTACAGATTTCCAGGAAGTTTTTAGAGACCATCATACACACACAAACACACACACTCATGTAGAGACAATTCTGCAAAGATTACACAAGTGTGGCTGTACTTCTAAGGCATGCCTGAGGCAAGGAGATTCAAATGGCTCCTTCTAGGAAAATAAATGTTTATTTTTTGTTATTTTGAAGCTTTGGATTTTCTCTCCAAAGGCCTAAATCACTTTCAAGATGTAAGAAACCTAATTTCATTTCCTTTTGTTCTGTCTGGATTTTTAAAAAAAATACACTTCATTTATTTTTATTGGAAAGGCAGATTTACGAGAAAAGGAGAGAGAGAGAGAAAGAGGGATCTTCCATTCTCTGGTTCACTCCTGAAGTGGTTGCAATAGCTGGAGCTGAGCCAATCTGAAGCCAGAAGCCAGGAGCTTCTTCCAGGTCTCCCATATGGGTGCAGGGTCCCAAGCCTTTGGGCCATCCTCGACTGCTTTCCCAGGCCACAAGCAGGGAGCTGGATGGGAAGTGGAGCATCCAGGACACAAAGTGATGCCCATATGGGATCCTAGCATATGCAAGGGGCGGATTTAGCTACTAGGCCAACACATCGGGCCCTAGATTTTCTTTCTTAAGATTATTTATTTGACAGGCAGTTACAGGTGGGTATATCCATGACCTGATTTTCCTAGTTGAAGCCGTAAGTCTGGAGTTTCCGATCAGATTTCCCATGTGTGACAGAAGCCCAAGCAGCTGAACCATCTTCCACTGCCTTCCCACACACGTCAGCAGAGAGCTGAAGCAGTAACAAAGCTCCTATATACGATGCTGGTGTTACAGCAATCGCTTCAGCTCCTGTACCACCATGCGGGTCCCATCCACCTGCTTTGAAAGACGTTCTCAGCATTTTAAGAGCATGAATGGTGAGCCTGGCAAGACAGGTGGGAGTCCAGGTCATGAGGGGCCTTTTAAAGTGTATACTTCATACCATTCTTCCAGAGAGAGTATCCTTACTAAAGGAGTACTACTTAACTTTCCCCAAGAAAGTTCTTTCTGGGCCCAATGCAATAGCCTAGTGGCTAAAGCCTTGCCTTGCATGTGCCTGGACCCCTTATGGGTGCCGGTTCATGTGCCAGATGCTCCACTTCCCATCCAGCTCTCTGCTTGTGGCCTGGGAAAGCAGTAGAGGACGGCCCAAAGCCTTGGCACCCTGCACACACGTGGGAGACCTGGAAGAAGCTCCCGGCTTCAGATCGGCTCAGTTCCAGCCACAGCAGCCAGTTGGGGAGTGAATCAGCTGTCAAAAAATCTTTGTCTCCCATTCTCCCTGGAAATCTGCCTTTCCAATAAAAATAAATGAATCTTTAAAAAAGAAAAAAAAAAATAAAGAAAGCTCTTTCCACCAGATTTCTTCTGCTTTTCCCTTTGGCTTTATTTCCAACAGCCGCTCTTCTTGCCCAATCCCTTCTCTTCTATCCACAAACGCACAAGCAGCATCCCACACCAGACCCTGGGGAGCCAGCGGTGGCCCAGGCTCACCCTGACCTACAGAGCAGAGGCAAAGTGCACTGGAGGTGGAAATGTGCAACAGCTTTGCTTTGTGGTTTTCTCCCATGTTCTGGAAAAGACTGGAAGAGGATTGAGACCAACCAGAAGAAAAGGGGCTATGGTTTTCTCATCAACTATTAGAGTAGCACAACAGAGACATGGGAGGAAAAACCTACAGATTAAAAGGGTTTCAGAAATCTATCTTATCTGGATCCTGACACAAATACTCAAAATGCAAAAAAAAAATTATGCTATTTATGAGACAACTATTTAATTGAAAGCTGACTGACGGATGGGTCCCGGCCACCCACATGGGAGACCTGGAAGAAGCCCCTGGCTTCTGGCCCAATTCTGGCCATCTGGGGAGTGAACCAGACATGGAAGATTTCCCTCTTTCTTTCTGTCTCTCTTTCTCTCTCTCTCTGCCTTCCAAATAGATAAATAAATAGATGGCTAGAATAAAAATAAACTCCATTATAAGATTTTTTTTTTTCCCACAGAAGAGAAAAAGGTGAGACCTAAGATTTCTCAGGGCTTCTGCTTTGGAGAAAGGACGGAGGCACAGAGGGAGCTGGAAGTGCGGCAGTTCAGTTTGGGAACAGAACGGTTGCAGGCTGGACCAGGCAGGAAGGAGAAGGACTCAGGGCAGCACAGATGTGAGAGAGGAAAGGGAAAGTGGAACAGGCAGGTGGGCTCACTGCTTCCTTCCCCAAGGCCCACCTTGTTATACTTTTGGTGTGTTTCTCCTTAACTTTCATCTCCACCAATGGCAAATCATTGTGGGAACTTGGCAACAGAGATCTCCAGGCAGCAAGCCCCAGAATTGCACCTCAGTTAGCGGGGCCTGGGCACGTGCACTTTTCAACACGTGTATGCTCCATGACACTTGGGGTTCAGGACCACCCCTTGGAGCCCCCAGTGCCAAACCCCTGTGAAGTGCCCTGGTGTTTGTCACCAGCCATGAGTCTGCCAGACTGAGCATCAAACCACAGGCCCTTCCAAAGCCTGCACGACCACAGTTCAGTATTTCAAGGCAGAGAAAAAAATAATAAAAGAGAGGGGAGATTACGCTTTAAAAAGCTATTCATCGATTTCCCTTAACGTGTGTGTGGAAACGTGTTGAGGGCCTCCTGTGTGGAGCAAACAAATCCATCAACCAGCCACGGCTTTTGCAAGACAGCTCCTTAAGCTCTCTGTCCCACCTCTGTGCTGATGGGTTTGGATTTGATATTCACCGAACCAACTTCTGATTTGTTTAATTGGCCCCCACTAAGGAGGGGGGGAAATATCAACACTCTGAATAATTGCCCTGAGTGACACAGATCTCTTGGTGGGTCTATTTTTATCACCGGTTTTAATACCTGAATCTTTAGACCTCCCAAATATTCCTAAAAGCTTTGTGATTGACAAGAATGAGATCACCAAGATCTGACCACTTCTGAGCAAACAAATCAATTTCCGTTTTCAGGGCTAGGTTAGTAAGATCCCGGCCACTGAGCTGAGGCTACCAGGAGAACAGTAAGCCTGTGTCACAGACAGCCACACCTGGGGAGAAGCTGGAGGAGGCCCCTACCCAGCCCCAGACACCATGGCCAAGGCAGCAGGTTGCAGCCCTACTTACCTAGAGCCCCGTGCCTGCTCAAAGACCAACAGGGTCCTCAGACGGTGGAACCAGACAGGCTTGGGAGAGTTCCCACGCCAACAGGGAGCTCTCTGGACCCCAAGACTGGCGAAGCTCTCCCGGGAGCCAGACGCGTTCTTTTCTCTGATTTGAAGAGAGAAGACAGGAAAGAACGGAGAGTGAGGCTCCCCGGCCCACACTGTCCCAGAGAACAGGCTGTGAAACGGCAGGTGCATTTGGCTGCTGAGTTCCAAGCGCCCTCCTGCCAGGTCCCACCACGCGTCTCGCTCGTCTGTTCCCACTGGGCGCCTACGTGGAGGACACTATTACTGTCTGACCCCTAACTGCCCAGGGGCTGGCTGGCACCCATTCAAGCCTCCTCACGTTGGGCAGGCTGTCGCCTGTGGCTCTCTCCAGGGTCTTACCAACTGGCCATGGCTGCGGACCAACCCCTCAGCCTTGAGGGAACTAAAGTAACTTTGCCTTAAAGAAAGAGTAGCCAAGCAAGGCGGGGCCAAGCTAGCCAAGAAAGACACAGGGCTTAGGCAGGAGCCCTCCTCAGCCAAAACTAATTTTTTTTTTAAGAGGAGAAAAATGAATCTGTCGCCTACTTGAGGCCATGAGGGATGAGGCTGACTAGGTGCGAGGAGGTGACGGGACAGGAGCGTGAAGCGGCCACACAGTCCCGGCGTCAGCGCAGGACCCGCTCCCCGCGCCGCCAACACGAGGTGCCGGGTCCTGCAGGGAGCGAGGCGCGCAGGGCGAGGGCGGCGACGGGCGCTGCGACGCACGGGCGCTGCGACGCACGCGCGCCCCCTGGCGGCCCGGCCGCGCCACGGCCCCGCCGAGCCCCGCGAAGCCCCGCCCAGCCGGGCGCCCGGCCCGCTTCCCTTGTGTCGCGCGGCCCTCTAGTTCCGGCTGTGGCGCGCGCACGGAAAGTTTAAGCGGACGGACTGTGACCTGCGATGGGCTCCGGGCCCGCACTGCCGGCTGGGGCTGTGGGTGTGAAGGAGGCCGGGGTGCAGGCGCCAGCACCCGGCTGGCTCGCCGTGCCCTGAGGGCCAGCTCCCGGGTTGGAGAGCGCGGGGCCTGCCGCCGGCTTCCCATCACACCCGGAGCCTGCAGCGGGGTCTCCAGTTCCGCGTGACACGAGTCCGCCCGCCCCACCCCGTGTTCCCGTGCTGGACTTCCAGATCGCAACAGTGTTGCATTGATTTCCGAGGTAAAAAGTATATTCTGCAGATGTTCACCGTGCGGGGAACATCTGCAGGTGGGGTGGGGTGTCTAGAGGCGAAGTTGGAGCTGAGAACTCGGGAGGGACCCTGGGAGTCGTTCTAACTACATCAGATCAGATGGCGAGGGGTCTCTTCCCACGGAGAGGCTGAGCTTGGGAAGGAAGACAGAGACTTGGCTGCAGCTCCAGCTGCATGCCCACCGGGGTGGGCCGAGGGCACTCAGCTCCGGTGACTTCTTACCAGATGGCTTAGCCTAGTGGGCAGCGAGCCGTTGTATTTTTAAAAAATGAGACCTGGCCTGCCAGAGTGGGTCATCAGGAACATTGAGCTCCTTCTTTGACTCCTCTGCTCATGATCGGAGCGCTCCCGCCACCTGGTCACCACTACCCCTGGGAGTGGACACAAATGCGTCCTTATTGGAAGTAAAGAAGACCGTGTGACCAATATAGTATCAAGTTGATCCATCTAAGCTCCCATGTGCATTTAACTCTGCAAGAAACCCTCATACCCTCAGACAGGAAGGCTTTTAAAAATTAATTTACTTTTATTTGAAAGGCAGATTTACAGAGAGAAGGAAAGACAGGGAGAGAGAGATCTTCCATCTATTGCTTCACTCCCCAAATGGCTGCAATGGCCAGGACTGGCCAGGAGTCCAGAGCTTTCTGGGGGTCTCCTACATAGGTGCAGGGTCCCATGCACTTAGGCCATCCTCTGCTGTTGTCCCAGGAACATAAGCAGGGAGCTGGATGGGAAGTGGAGTGGCTGGGACCCTTAACTATTGTTGCTATGGAATGCTGAAACCACAGACCCACCCTGCCAAAACATTAGTCCCTGGACATGGTTTTAGTTTGGACAGCTTGGTCACTTGGGCTTCTTAGCCCACACAGCCAAGCAGCTGCAAATAAGGATGGTAACAGAGGACTAGTGATCAAAGTGGGATGCAGGTGAATGGCCTGAAGTTTATGTCAAGGCTGCAGCAAAGCAGAGGGCCACAGCCGCTGGATCCTTTTGAGTGCAGGAACTGTAACCTGCCAGCCACACTTGAGAGGCTGGTGTCAAGGCAAACACCAGGGTATCCTGTGCTGCGCAGTGTTGGTGTTTGGTGTGACGTTGCTAGGGTGACTTTCATTTAGCACACATTGGGACCACGAAATATATTTTATTTTTTTCCTATCAAAATGGTGAAATGTTTTGACTCCTTTGGCTGGAAAAGTAACCTCACCCCACTCCATTTGAGCTTTAATGATGTTGGATACATGAAACATAACAATATTTCACACCATTGGGTAGTGAAAGGCTTTTTCTGTTTGTCCTGACCTCCTTGCCCGCATCGGTAACATTGTTTCAATGACTGGTTATGTTCTGAGTTCCTCACAGCCTACCTGCGGGTGGACTTTTAGAATACCATGCATTTGTAGTTGGGTACTGTACTAAAACAAATAGTCTGGCCACGGTGAAATTTTTTTTTTAAATGAATTCCCCAGAACGAAAATGCTGGGTGTTAAATTTCTAACTTGCTTATGCCCCCTGAAATCTTCTTAATTGTATACAATGAATACAATATGATTTTATGAAGCTGTTATCAGTGTATACATGTCATCTTTCCAAACAAGTTTTCTGCATTCTTTACATAAGCATTTCCAATATGGAGTGAGCATTTGGCTTAGTGGTTAAGACACCCATGGCAGAGTGCCTGGGTTCGATTCCTGGCTATGGCTCCCAAATCTAGCTTCCTGCCAGCAGGGACCGTGACAGCAGGCGATGGCTCAAGCCCTTGCATTCCTGTCACTTACATGAAGGGCCTGGGTTGAGTTTAGCCCAGCTTCAGTCCAGGGCAGTCCTGGCTGTTGCAGGCATTTGGGGAATTAACCAGCCAAAGGGAGGGCCCTCTTGTCTCCCTCACTCTTCTCTCTGCCTCTTGAGGTAAATTTTACATTTATGTATTTCTGATATCCACATGTCATTCTTTTGCCTTTTGATATTTCATTATGCCAAGAGACTTGTACTTTGCAAGCTGTATCCTCACTAGGTCTTTTTGTTTTGAGCACAGAAATATTTTCTACATGCTGATTCTCAGTTCTAATTAAAAAAAAAAAAAGACAACTCTGCTTCCTCCATTTCTGCATTTTTACTTTTCTGCATATTTCATGAGACAATTCCAGCTTTTGTACATGTTCTTTCACTTTGCTCTGTGTACAGTGAGTCCTGCTGAGCCTGAGTCTGTTTTGTTTGCTTAATGACTTCCAGCTTCGTCTAATTTGCATTATGACTTTCCCAGTTCTTCTACTTGTGTGTTTTACATTTGTTTTCTTTTGAAAAATGTACCGTGTAACAAAAGAAACATTCGTGTTAGTACTGTTGTATTGCTTAAGATACCGAAAGTGCCAGAAGAAAATAGTTGTTAAATACACCAGCATATGACAAATAGAAATATCCTCCAGTAAGTTAAGTGTTGGGGAACTGTTGTAGGAGTGTGTATTATATTGTATTGCATGAAAGTTGAAAGTGAGAAAGTCAACCTGAATTTAATGTTTCCCCACCCACCCAGTGGGGTGACTCACTGTGGCCCGTGACTGATGGCCACTGCACGACTGATGCTAAGGCCGGTCCTCACAGTGAGCTAAGCTGCTTGCTTTCCATTGTGGAATTCTCTGAAAAGCTCCCTCACTTCCATTCAGGTAGGATTTGCCTCCACTCACTTCTGAGAAACTGGTTTAAAAATTAGTGGGGAAAAAAAAAATGTTTTTCTCTTCATGACATGGGAAACCTTATTTACCTTCTACAACATTTCTCCGTCGGTAGGACTGTGTTCGCATCCCGGTTGGACACGCGGGAATCCTCTGTCACCATGCCGACAGTGGTAGTAATGGACGTCTCTCTCTCCATGACCCGGCCCGTGTCCATCGAGGGCTCCGAGGAGTACCAGCGGAAGCACCTAGCAGCCCATGGCTTGACGATGCTGTTTGAGCACATGGCCACAAATTACAAGCTTGAATTCACGGCCTTGGTGGTGTTTTCGTCCCTCTGGGAGCTGATGGTCCCCTTCACGCGAGACTATAACACCCTACAGGTACACAAAGGAGTTCAGTTATTGTATGTATAAAGGCCTAAATGTATTAGAAGTTAAATCGCTTTTAATATCATACTGACTTTCTAGAACTCAGAAATATTTAATAAGAAATCAATAGGTGCTTCTTACGTGGGTTCCCCACCAGCAGGGTTCAGGTCTCTTTCTCTGGCAGAACTGTGGGTTAAAGCTATGTGGCATTTCCTCGTTTTCATGGCTTTTTGAGATTCCTTGTGGAAAGGCAGGCATTTGGTGCTCCATTCCCTCAAGTTCAGGGTCTTAATGTTCAACAATTTCCTTTTCTCTTTAAATCTTGAAGAAATGAAAAAAAAAAAACTTGAAGAAATGGAAAAATAGCCCTTTCTTATGAAAACATTTATTGTAGAGTAATTCAAAATGTTATTTTCTTCCCAAGAGATTGCTTTGATTTACAGATCCCAAGAAATTATAATTGTTAAACCTTAACCAACAGGTATTAAATTCCAGAGATGTTTTCTCTGATGAGCCCAAGAATCTACTCTCCGGCAGCATCTCTAGTTCATGTATATTTCCCCCAGTGGCTAAAATAGTCTTGGCCCCCGTGAGTGTTCCCTGAGTATTTGTGGAATTAAAAAGAGTAGTTTAATGATGGTTGGGCTATTTAGAAATGAAAAATCAAGGAAGTTTGAATTTTTTTTTTTAAGCATCATCTCCTACATGTTAAGCCCCTCAAAAGTGTCTTCATCATTGTGCTGGCTTCCTTATAAGCAAGCTTTTTGGACAGTAGCACTTCTGAAAGGTAAAGAATCGCTCTGCGAGGATCGAGCAGTAACGCTTATGACAGGAGGCAGACTGCCTGGGTTCGGACCTAGGCTCCGCCACCTCGGCTCACGAGACCCGGGAGAGGTACTCAGTCTTCCTCTGTCGTGTTTCCTCGCATAAAAAGGGGGTTACTAGTCTGTATCTTAGATTGTTGTCACAAAGATGAAATACAAATGAAGTATCAAGAATTGTGTTTTGGACACAGTTATTATTCAGTCAATGTTCTCATTATTTTTATAATATGTTTAGGAGTTCTTCATAGAAGATTTTTCCTTCAGTGTCCACTTAAGAAGGTGTAAGTAGGGCCAGTGTGATAGCTTAGTGGTTAAAGTCCTTGCCTGGAACACCCGGGATCCCATATGGGCACCAGTTCTAATCCCGGCAGCTCCACTTCCCATCCAGCTCCCTGCCTGTGGGAAAGCAGTCAAGGATGGCCCAAAGCCTTGGGACCCTGCACCGAAGTGAGAAACCCAGAAGAAGCTCCTGGCTCCTGGCTTCAGATTGGCTCAGTTGCAGCCACTTGGAGAGTGAACCATTGTACAGAAGATCTTCCTCTCTGTCTTTCCTCCTCTCTGTATATTTGCCTTTCCAATAAAAAAATAAATAAATCTTTCAAAAAAAAAGAAGGTGTAAGTAGTAGACTTGTAATTCTCGCTTGGTAAGAGGACCAGGTGAGGGGACGCTCTTCAATCATCGGGGTAGCTGAGGAGACCGGTTCCGCTGTTTGATTTTAATAAGGCATGCTCTGAGACGTTCTGAAACACCATATCCTGCATGACATTCCTACTTGGAACAGTGATGTTTTCTGAGAAAAAATGAAAATAATGAAGAATAACAGCCCACATTTGCTTTCATTCAATAAGGAAGCGCTAAGTAATATGGATGATTATGACAAAACCTGTTTGGAGTCTGCCTTGGTTGGTGTGTGCAACATCGTCCAGCAAGAGTGGGGTGGTGCGATTCCTTGCCAGGTAAGGAAGGATCAATTCTGTTTTATTGCCCTTAAGTTAAACACAGCTGAAGTGCCCCGAGTTTCTTCAGGCTCCGACACAGCACATGTTGTCATTGTTACAAGCCACATTTTATGCTACTGGTATCTTTTTAAGGCAGCACTGAACCACTCCAATCACATCTCACTAATCTAATCTAAATCACTTCAATGTGCTCGAAAAGTGAGAAAATTATGCCTGAAGGAAAGCATCTGCCCAGGCTAGTACTATCTGTGTAAAACACAGAGGACTCACAATAGTTTCAGAACTGTGCTCCCTGGAGGGGGTGGTTGTAATTTTGACAAGTAGAATGTAAGCTCCCGTGCAGCATTCTGTCTTCATCATCTCAGCACAGCCTTGGTCCAGCGGGCTCTGCCCCATCTCAGGCCCGGGCTGTCTGGAAAGGGAGGTGTGGGAATGTCCTAGAATCGGAGCCCTAGTTAGCATCCGGCTGGAGCCAGATAGTAACAAGCAAGGGGAACTGGAAATTTGTGATAAGCAGCGTATTTTGAAGAAGGAAAAAAGACACATTCCTAAAAGAAAAAGAAAGTCATAGTGGTCTGAAAACAAAAGTTGGCCTTTGTTTGTTTTAGGTTTTGTAGATTTTTGTGGTAACCCTACTATTACAGCAGGAAAGCAACCTTTCAAATAAGTAAATGGAAAGGCCTGGGTGTGTTCAAGTTAAACTTTATTTACACAGCAGCAGTTGGGCTACATGTGGGCCTCAGTTTGCTGGCTCCGATCAGTGACTTCTATCAGAAGATCAAACAGGATTCTTCAGAAGTGCCAGTGACATCACCAGATTATTATTATTACTAAACATTAAGATTTATTTTTATTTTCATTACGAAGTCAGATATACAGAGAGGAAGAGAGACAGAGAAGATCTTCCGTCCGATGATTCACTCCCCAAATGGCTGCAACGGCCGGTGCGGTGCCAATCCAAAGCCAGGAGCCAGGAACTTCCTCCAGGTCTCTGACACGGGTGCAGGGTCCCAAGGCTTTGGGCCGTCCTCAACTGCTTCCCCAGGCCACAAGCAGGGAGCTGGATGGGAAATGGAGCTGCCGGGATTAGAACTGGCGCCCATATGGGATCCTGGTGCGCTCAAGGCGAGGACTTTAGCCACTAGGCCACGCCGCTGGGCCCAAGAAGCATTCTTTTAAAAAATATTTATTTATTTGGGACTCCGAGTTATCAGAGAGAGGAAGAGGGAAAGTGGGACACAGGGAATTCTTTCATCCATTGGTTCACTCCCCAAATGGCGTCAGTGGCTGGCTCTAGGCCAGGCTGAAAGCAGGAGCCACGAGATTCTTCCAGGTCTCCCATGTAGGTGCAGGGTCCCAAGCACTTGGGTCATCTTCCACTGCTTTTCTCAGGCCTTTCGCAGGCAGCTAGATCAGAAATGGAGCAGCCAGGACTCCAACTGGTGATGCTGGTGTCACATAGCAGAAGGCTTCACCTGCTGTGCCATAATGCTGACCCCTAAGAAACATTCTTGAGCTTTAGAAATAAATGCCTAAATAAATAAATAAATATAAAAATTTAAAAAAATTTTTTTAAAGAAGTAAACGCCAGTCTTGTGGCCTATGACTAAGTTACTGACTAGGCTAGAAAGAGCAAAACTAATCCTCTGTTTGTCTTCCTGACTTCCTGGAAGTCCGAAAGCAATGTGGAAGAGGAAAATGATTTTGCAACTACTATCTGTTATTGGTATGCTATTTATTTATTTATTTGAAAGGCAGAGTGCTGGAGAAGGAGACGAGAGGGATATTCTATCCTACCCCACCACAGCCAGGGATAAGCCAACCTGGAACACAGAGCCCGTTACTCCATCCAGGTCTCTCACATGTGGAGGGGGCGCCAAGTCCAGTCATCATCCGCTGCCTCCAGCAGACATTACCAGGAAGCTGATTTGGAAGTGGAGGAGACAGGACTTGAACCAGCGCTGTGATATGGGAAGTGGGCAGCCCAAGCAGCAGCTTTGCCTGATATGCCATAGTGCATGCCCCTATACAAATATTTTTAAAGCAGATGTCATTTTAGTTGACTAGGAATAGAGTGTGTCAGCTTGAAAATCAACTGGCTACATTCTGACTTCCGTGGTGGTACATTTTTGTTCTTTTAAGGTTTATTTATGTGAAAGGTAGAGTGACAGAGAAAAAGGGGGAGACAGAAAGAGATCTACTATCCACTAATTGGCTTCACAAATGGCTGCAACAGCTGGCCTGGCACTCCATGTAGGCTTCCCACATGGGCTGCAGGGGCCCAAGCACTTGGGCCATCATCTGCTTCAACAAGAACATTGAGGGGCCCAGGGCAGTAGCCTAGTGACTAAAGTCCTCACCTTGCATGCTCTGGGATCCCATATGGCCTCTGCTTTGTGTCCTAGCAGCCCCACTTCCCATCCAGCTCCCTGCTTCTGGCCTGGGAAAGCAGTCGAGGATGGCCCAAAGCCTTGGGACCCTGCACACACAAGGGACACCCGTAAGAGGCTCCTGGCTCCTGGCTTTGGATCAGCTCAGCTCTGGCATTGTGGCCACTTGGGGAGTGAATCATCAGACAGAAGATCTTTCCTCTCTGTCTCTTATCTCTGTATAGCCAACTTTCCAATAAAAAACATGCAGGACTCGTGCCAGCCTTCCAGTATGGGATGGGATGTCTCCACTGGTGGTTCCACCTCCTGTGTCCTAACTCCAGTCTCTGTGGTAGCACTACCTAGGAACATCTTTATGGAAGAAATGGAGTGCTACTTTTAATACTATTAAGTATAAGTTATAAATATTTTTATCCCTTTTTTAAGCAATTAAAAAATAAGCCTTTTTTAAAAAAAAGTTTAATTAGATGGATAGAGTAAAAATGCATAGATTTTAAGTACCCAACTCATTTTTTTTTTAAAGATTTATTTTGTTGGGGCTGGTGCAATGGCTCAGTGGCTAAACCCTCACTTTGCTGGTGCCAGGATCCCATATGGGTGCATCCCAACTGCTCTACTTGCCATCTAGTTCCCTGCTTATGCCCTGGGAGGGCAGAGGAGGGTGGGATCCTGTGCGCACATGGGAATATCCCAGACGAGGCTCCTGGCTCCTATCTTTGGATTGGCCCAGCTCTGGCCATTGCAGCCACGTGGGGAGTGAACCCACAAATGGAAGATCTTTCTCTCTAGGTCTCCTTCTCCCTAGAAATCTGCCTTTTCAATAAAAATTAAAATCTGATTTACTTATTTTTAGTAGAAAGGCAGAGCTACAGAGAAAAGGAGAAAGCTCGGTCTTCCATCTGCTGGTTCACTCCCCAGATTGCTGCAACTGCCAGAGCCAAGCTGATTGGAAGCCAAGAGCTTCCTCTAGGTCTCCCACACGTGTGCAGGGACCCAAGGACTTGAGCCATCCTCTGCTGCTTTCCCAGGCCACTAGCAAGGAACTGGATCAGAAATGCAGCAGCTGGAACACGACACAGCCCCTGTCTGGGATGCGAGCGTTATGGACAGAGGATTAGTCTGTTATGCCTCCATGCAACCCCACCGAGTGTGGACAAATACATGCTCTTCTGCAACCACTACTGTCATAAAGATACTGAACTTCCTGCACAAAGCTCCCTCTTGCCTCTTTCTAGCAGTGAAAACATTGCTCAATTGAATTGTTTCATGTAATGTAGCATACCTCCTCTCTGTCTGCGAACAGGTTGTCCTGGTGACGGATGGCTGTCTTGGCATTGGTAGAGGGTCGTTGCGGCATTCCCTAGCTACCCACAATCAAAGAAGTGAAAGCAACAGGTTCCCACTACCTTTTCCTTTCCCATCGAAGTTGTACATCATGTGCATGGCAAATCTGGAGGAGGTAATGCTGTTTACTAAGTTCTTTTTAGCTTGATTAGGTAGATTGTAGGGTTCAGTTTACTTTTTAGTATACTCAGTTACTTTATTGTATATACTTGAACATTGTATTCTGCAAACATTGTTTTCAGCTGAGCTTTTAATATATATACATATATATATTTAAGATTTTATTTTATTTATTTGTAAGGCTAGGTTATATATAGAAAGATCCTCCATCCACTGGTTCACTCCCAAAATGGCCCCAAGGGCAAGGGTTGGGCCCGGCTGAAGCCATGAGCCAGGGATCTTCTTCCAGTTTCCCACATGGGTGCAGGGACCCAAGCACTTGGGCCATTTTCCCGTTTCCCAGGCACATGAGCAGGGAGCTGAACTGGAAGTGGTGCAGCCAGCACCTGTATGGGATGCTGCTGCTGCAGGCAGTGGTTTTACCTGCTACTCCACTGTTCTGGCTCCTACCACGTTTTATTTGAAAAGACTGAAATTTCAGTGTTGCCCATTTTGGAAACAGACTGATTGTCCGTCTTAACAACAAGCACAGAAGGAGTGAGATGTTCTTTTGGAGTTCGTTTATTTGCCTTATTTAGAAATTCTTAAGTCTATCAGTGGAAATGTTGACAGAGGTACGCTTTTGATTTTTTCAGGTAAAATAATGACTGGTGTTTGTTGTTAGATTACTAGGGTTTCCCATTTATTTGGTAAAGTAATTTAACCTTTCTGCACCATAATTGCTTTCTCTGTTAAATGTAGGTAAGGACAGTTCTTACCAAAAGACATTATAAACACTCTGGAGGGAAGATGTTGTGTCGTGCTAGCTGTAGAATCTGGAAAACTGCTTTGGAATGGGATAGCTGTAGTCGTGTCATTTACAGGACATTCTTCCTGTGTAACCTTGGGTCAAATTGCTACAGTTATTTCCTTCTCATATTGGTTGTTTAAAACAAATCTGTCGTTTATGACCCGTGTTGTTATGATGGCCATGTCCTTGGTATTCGGAGAGTCAGCTGGCATTTTGTGCCATTTTAAAGGGGTTATCCGTTTTGCTTTGTAGCTTCAGAGCACGGATTCTTTGGAATGCCTCGAACGTCTCATCGATTTAAACAATGGTGAAGGGCAAATTTTCACCATTGATGGCCCCTTGTGCTTAAAAAATGTACAGTCTATGTTTGGGTGAGTATATTCTTTGAGTTATTTGCCTTTTTACAATCCAGTATCATAAATTTGACATCTAGCAGGAATATCTATTTCACTATTTTGGATTATTCCTCCTCCCCCCCCCCCCAATTGTACTTTTCTCTGATAAAATGACTATTAGTAATGATTTTATAAAGTTTGATCCATTTTCAACTGAGCATGCCTAAATCTATTTCTAAAAAATAGGCTGCAGATACTGAGTTTTCCGATAGTGACTTTGCAATTCCCAGAGTTACCTTGCTGTTGGATTTTTCATAAATGAAATGCCACCAAAAATGTGAAATTTGAGGCAGGCATTTGGTATAGCAGCTAAGTCACCTGCATTCCACATTGTGGTGCCTGAGTTTCCCACGTGACTGCACTGATTCCAGCTTCCTACCAAGGCAGGCCCTGGGAGGCAGACATTTGACTCCCAGGGCAGACCTGGACTGAGCTCCTACTTGCCAGCCTCATTCCTGGCCTGGTCCTAGGCATAGCACGTTTTTGGAAAGTGAACCAAAAGATGAGAGTTCTGTCAGTCTCAAATAAATTAATTTTTAAAAAGAATCAAAGCCATGTGCAGATTTTGTTCTGTACCTCAGATGATTTTATCCTAGGTTTAGCACCAACTTAAAGGGAAAGCACTTTGCATCTTGGAAAAATTGCTTGTATCATATTAACATTGACCATCATATTCCAGAAAACTGATAGATCTGGCATATACACCTTTCCATGCTGTTCTCAAGTGTGGCCACCTGACAGCGGATGTGCAGGTTTTCCCCAGGCCAGAGCCTTTTGTTATAGATGAAGAAATTGATCCTATACCGAAAGTCATTAATACAGGTACTGTTTTTTGAAACAAACTTCTTAGTTTTTCTGTTATCGTTGCTTTCTTCTAACCCGAGGCTTTTACCCTGTCCTCCACCTAGATGAGGTGAAAGGAAGGTATACTGTGATCTAGGGTGCTGTTATTGCATTGCAGGATATATTACTTAAAAGATGGGAGAGAATTGATCTATTCTGCTGAGGTTCATCTCCAGTCATAGATCATTAGATCTACAAATTATTAGAGTTAGAAACCATGCTGTACTCACTAGCATTGAAATCCTGGAGATGGTTCTTAAAAGTGATACTAGAGACATCTGTAAAGGATTACTGCTGGACTAACAGCTGTGCGATGCTTGCTGTGCGACTGCAGAGTCGTTTCCTCTGGTCTTAGTTGGATCAACCTGGCAGGCACTCAGCTCTCCTGCGATCCTGGTCTAGCCCTGTCTTTTCACTTGGCTTTCCATGGACTTTCTGAATACCTGGTGCTTGGGCTGATTCATTTGTTAGTCACCAAGAGAGGTGAAGGCAGCATGTCTCAAGCACATTTGCTAATTTGTTAGAATTACATTGTATTCACCATGATTCTGATCTTTTTAAAATTATCTTGAGAACATAAGTCTTAATTTGCTTAGAGAAATGAGTGAAAAGCAATTTAATAAAATAAATTTACTTTTATGGATTTTTTTTTTTTTACAATTTCTAGTGTTGTCCAAGCTTTTGTACTTATATATTTATAGAGTAAGAAAAAAAGTTAAAATCCTTTTGAGTGTAACTTTTATTTTGTATTCATATTAGATTCAAAAAATACTTCTGGTCGTCAGTATAGCTTCTGTAAGGCAAAGGAATTGCTGCCATTAGACTGTTTATCTTGGTTTTGTAGCGAATGTATCTATTTCTCAGAATAACATTTTTCAGTGTAATAGCTTAACTTTCTGGGAAGATTGGATTAAGTTTTTATGGAAATGTGTGTGACTGATGCCCTCTGTTGGCATCAACATCTGATACAAAGGGATTTGATCTTTTAAGGTTTTTGTCTTGGTTGGGAACTAGTCTCATAAAAATGAAGTTTACTTGATTTATCATATAAAATTCATTAAGTGAAAGATAATTATTACTTCATGATCTACCCAAAATAACTATTTGAGTTATCCACAAAAAAATTTTAACAAATTTATCAGTCTTTATATTTGAAACCCCCTCCTATTCAGTGTGTTTATGAAATCGAACACATAGACAACAATGTACTTTCCCATACTGTGAATTAATTCTATGTTGATTCCTTCCTTTCAGATTTGGAAATAGTGGGATTTATTGATATAGCTGATATTTCAAGTCCCCCTGTTCTGTCCAGACATTTAGTGTTACCCATAGCACTTAACAAAGGTAAGTTCTCTCCCCATTCCACGGACAGATGTGAACTATCCCACTGTCTAGTTAGTCTTACACATTAGATAGCAGGAGAACTCATCTTGAACATTCTGATAGGTATTTTATGATACATTGGCTTGTGCAGTTCCAATGGAGGTCCTCTTTAGAGATAAGAATGTCTAGTTCTTCATCCAGAACTCTGACTTTCCCAGCATAGTGTAGCCACCAAATAAATGTGGGAGTCAAATGCAGCTCTACCAGGGAGAAGAGCCACACTTATCCTTTGTTCCACTAATGTCAAGCACGTAGTAGATATTCATTAGATATTTTTCAAAGAATGCATAGATCTAGGTTGTGGCAAGTCCTCACTACTTTAAAGTATAACTCTGCATGTGCTGTCATATCACATCCCCAAATTTAGCATCTCTAGAGGATGTGATGCCCCAGCTGTTTGAGATTCTCTTTTTCTCTGTTCTGGGCTGACGACCATCTACCCTCTGTTTATCAGTACCCTCCAAGAGGTTGTTGTAGTCAGTCTGATTTCCACTTACTGAATTATGATCATTTCTGTTTTACTCCCACATTTTCTTGGTTGGACTGTTGAGCATCCAGTAACCACTCAATCACATAGTCACAGAACGTGCTGGATTCCCACAGGTGGCTGTGTCTGTAATTTGCCTTGTTATTCTCAGAGAATAACCAACTTACTCTTATTTCTAAGGTCATAAGAGAATAATTGGAAGAAAAATATTGGAAGGAAAATAGAATCATGTTTTATTTTATTTTAAAAAATATTTATTTATTTTTATTGGAAAGTCAGATTTACAGAGAGAAAGCGCTTCCATCCGCTGGTTCACTCCCCAAGGGACCACAAAGGCCAGAGCTGAGCTGATCCAAAACTAGGAGCCAGGAACTTCTTCCAGGTCTCCCACATGAGTGCTGGGTCCCAAGGCTTTGGGCCATTCTCCACTGCCTTTCCAAGCCACAGGCAGGGAGCTGGATAGGAGGTGGAGCAGCCAGGACACAACCAGCACACCCATATGGGATCCTGGTACATACAAGATGAGGATTTAGCTGCTAGGCTATCACACCAGGCCAGGGCAATGTTTTAAGGATTGTTGAATGCTAAGTAAACAGGGCAAATTATTCTTGTTGAAGAAGAAACTCTTTTGCTCTACAATGTATAAGCTTTTGAAAAAAACAACTTGATAATTAAGCAGCTTTTATTACATTTTAGTTGTGCTCCCATCACCACAATCAGTTCTAGAACTTTTTCATCATTCCAATAATAACCCTGCCTTAATCTCCAGTCCTCCATTTCCCCATCCCCAGATAGCTACAAATATCCTGTTTCTCTATATAAATCTGCCTATTCTGAATGCTTTCTATAAAGGAAATTCATATGATACCTGAAAAATGGTTTATATGAACTTGAAGAGCTAGGATAGCTTTTTTCTATTTATTACAATATTCTTTTACAACTCTGTACACTTTCCTTCCAAGATTGCAAACAGCCAAAGGTGTAGTCAAATCTGCAACTTTTGTGGCCAAAATCAGCCTGGCCTGTTTCTTCTTTTTACAGAGGGTGATGAGGTGGGTCCTGGCATCGCTGACGACAACGAAGATGAAAATTCAGCCAACCAGATTGCAGGCAAAATACCCAACTTCTGTGTCCTGCTCCATGGGAGCCTCAAAGTGGAAGGAATGGTGGCGATTGTTCAATTAGGGTAGGAAAGATTGTTTACATTTTGTTGAATGAAATGGAAACTCGGTTCCCAAAGTGAAGCACTGCACAGCCATTTCTGGAGAGAGGAACATCTCCATTTTTCTTTCCTGGCCACACCCTGTCCACTAGCCATGACCTTCTAACCTGTTCTGTGAGACATCCCCCAGACTAAGAAGGGACTGGTCTTTGAATTACATTGCTTTTATGGTATATGCTTTCTCTTACCGCATTTACAGCATCTGGACTCTGTGTAACCACAGTACTAACTTGCAGTAGGATCACAAGCAGAAATCACAGACTCTTCATTTGTAAGATGAGCAAGTGGTGCTCAATGAAAACAGTGCAGTAACGTTCAGCATCTTCCCATGTGCCAGCTGCTTCCAGGCACTCTGCCCACCCTTTCCCTGTGGCAGGAAGAATCAACATGAACTCTGTTTTGTAGATGAGAACACTGTAAGATTTGGAGAGGACAAGGACCTTCCCCACGGTCACAAGGCTCATAAATGAAAGAGCAAGGATGCTTACCTATGTGTTCTGAACCCCAGAGTCTGTAGCTTTGCTGTGCTGGGTTCTCTCTCTGTGAGGGAAGCCCTTCTAGCTTCTCCATCCTCTGAAATCTTGAAATCTGCAAAAATGATTGCTTCCCTTTCTGTGCTGCCTGTTGTTAGAACAGAGGAGATGACTGACTGAACACCTCTGGCCATGGCCTAGGACTGGTCTAGAAGATGGACAAGTTCAGCTTCATCAGAAGAAGCATGGCTGCATTTCTGTTTGAGTTGTAATTACCTAATCCAGAAAGGAAAGATGCAATTCTTACTGGTCTCTGTTTTTCTTGGCACTCCAAGTACTTGTAGTGGCTCCAATTATGAGAACCACCTGAGGCCCTTTGAGAAGCTGAAAATAGGGTGTTTCTGACCTAACAAGGTGGTGGCCTTGTGCCTAGTGTGAGAAAGGCTCCCTGGACTGGTGCCCCTGTGCATGAGTCCACGAGGCAGCTGGAAGGGAAGACCTGCAGATCAGAGCCCTTCCTGCTCACCAGCACCCCTGGGACTACTTGCTATTCTTGGTTTTCTCTTAAGACTGTGACTTCCTTGGGTGCATAATTTCACCTGAATAATAAACATTTATGAGGAATAGCAATAGCAGTTAACAGCGGTATGTATTTTGAGGTTTAATGTTTGGCCTTGGTAAATGCAATGTAAATTTCAAAGCTGAAGTTCAAGAGAAGGGGAAAAAGAAAACCCACCACAGATTAGACTTATTGAACTTGACCAATCCAGGCTTAATATTCTTCTGATCTTCCATCTTCTCTCCATGTAGTCCTGAATGGCATGGAATGCTCTACTCCCAAGCTGACAGCAAGAAGAAATCAAACCTCATGATGTCTCTTTTTGAGCCTGGCCCAGAACCTCTCCCGTGGCTAGGGAAGATGGCACAGCTGGGTCCTATTTCAGGTATAACCAAGATCTGATTTTGCTTGTCTCAACTTTATCTTCTCTCTAATGTTCTGAATGTGTCTGGCAGTGGGTAGGGCAGCCTGGGCTCCCCGGTGTGCTGTGGATTCTGATGTTGGACCTGTACGTGGAGAGCTCCGAAAGAGCCTATTGTGTGATCAACGTTCACAACCCGCAGGATGCAGACATTTAGACTGCACTAAATCAATAGAAACTCTTCAGTGTTTAGAGTGAGAATCTACTCCCAGAAACATTTTTTTAAATATCCTATTTTCATCTTATTTTCAATCTAAGTAGTCCCTAGTCATCCCTGGATTAGTATTTAGCCTCCCCTCCTTCTTGAAGCTGTTTTCCCTTAACCTTCCTGACATTGTTTCTGCTACTTTTTCTTTGACAACTTCTTTCTCTTACCTTCTTGTGTTTTTTTCCTTCTTGCATCAGTTTCCATGGTGTTCTTTGCCTCTGCTCTTGGGTTCTTACTCTGTCTTGGTTCTTTTTTTTTTTTAAGATTGTATTTTTATTGGAAAGGCAGATATACAGAGAGGAGGAGAGACAGAGAAGAAGATCTTCCATCTCTTGTATCACTCCCCAAGTGGCCGCAACAGCTGGAGCTGAGCTGATCCAAAGCAAGGAGCAAGGAATTTCTCCTGGGTCTCCTGAGCAGGTGTAGGGTCCCAAGGCTTTAGGCCATCCTCAACTGCTTTCCCAGGCCACAAGCAGGGAGCTGGATGGGAAGCAGGGCTGCCAGGATTAGAACTGGTGCCCATTTGGGATCCCAGCGCTTATAAGGAAAGGACTTTAGCTGCCAGGCTACCATACCAGGCCCTCTGTCTTGGTTCTTTCATCAGCTGTAACAGTTTGAAATGTCCCAGATCTGGTACTCCCACCTGACCTTTCCTTGAAATTTACATATCATGTCTCCAGTTTTGAGTTGGGTCTTTTCCGACATGAATATTCCACTGGCCTCAGATTCGGCATGGTTTTAACAGAAACGATTGTCTTTCCCCCTTTTCTCTTTAAAGTGTTCTGATTTTCCTACTCCTTTTGATTGAGGGTTCCAATACTTTTCAGTACTCCAACTGCAGAGTCATCCTTGACTCATTTGAACTCATTTCCGTTTCAGGGACATCTACCAAGCAACCTTTTTTGTGGCAGGCCTAGGTGGCAAAAGCTTTAGCTGGAGTTACTGTAGGTATAGTTGGAAGGTAGAAGAACAGACTGACACAGAGTTAGGGTTAGCCTAGAGGATCCAGCTGAACTCAGCTCTGTCCAGAGGCCTTAGGAAAATCTTCACAGAGGAAGGACCCTAACCAGCTTGTGAAGAGAAAGAGGAATTTGCTGGGCTGGTAAAGGAATTGACCTGCAACACCATGGCACCAGCCCCATGCCTTACATTCTATTGAACTGAATGCCAGGCATTGTGCTGAACACAAGGAAACATGCCATCTCATTTAACACTCACAACAATCTTAGGATTGGCCTTATGATCATAACACATAGTAATAAAAGCTGCCGCTTTTAAAACAAACATGAAAGCAACACTGCTAGGAACTGGTGTTGTGGTATAACAAGTTAAACCCACTGAATGCAGTGCCAACATCACATATGGGCACCAACTCATGTCCTGGCTTCACCACTTCCAATCCAGCTTCCCTGTTGATGTGTTTGGGAAAGCAGCAGATGGTGGCCGGGGTGTTTGGACCCCTGCACCCACATGAGAGATGCCAAAGGTGGTCCTGGCTCCTGACCTCGGCTGTTGCAGCCATTTAGAGAGTAAACCAATGATGGAAGACCTATGTCTCTCCATCTCTCTGTTTTAACTCTGTCTTTCAAATAAATAAATCATGTTAAAAAAAAAAAAACCATTGTTCTACCATCCCTTCTCTGCCTAATTCTATTCCTAGAGATACTTTCAACACTTGCTTCTTTTGATATTCACTTACATTTCAAAATAAGTATATAAATTACATATGTACATACATAACTTGATAATATTTATTAGATTGAGTTGTCACTACTGAAAGCTCTCTAAATCCCATCATATCCCAGACACTACACAAGCAGCAGATATTGCCTACTTCAGTCCTCCCAATATAGTTAGAATTTTATTGTTGTTGTTGTAGGATCAGGATTTAGTCCTTGTTAGGTGATGTAAATGTTAGTTATACCTGAAACAAGCTGTGATTCCTTTGATTTTCAACTTTTTGTCCCCTGGCCCAGTCCTAGTTACTGCCTTTTTCGTTTGCTTGTTTTCCAAATACCTGACACTTCATTTGTAGTATTTTGTCAGTTCCTGTGTTTCTCTTAGGGAACTTAGAGTCGTACCGTATCTTCCCGTCTCCCAGGCACACTGGATACTCTCCAGGCCATTTGCAAAGTGCCATCCTGAGTCTCCTTCACATTTTTCTGAAAACCCTGTTGCATGACTCCTAAAAAGGAGGGGTACGTGGGAAGGAAATGTGTAGAAATCTTGCCTGTTGGGAAGTGACTTGACTGTTCTTTACACTCCCTTGATGAGTTGGGTCTGATCGTGCGTTCTAGGTTGGAAGCATTTTCCCTCAGGGTTGTAAAGCATTGCTCTGCTCTCTGTTCTTGCTGCCAGTGCTGCAGCTGAGCATCTAGTGCCTCCCAACCTCTCAGCCTTTGACCTTGGCCTGTTTTCTCTGTACCATGGATCCTCTTTGTACCTTGGTGTTCTAATTCATTTTGCTGGGCATTCACTGGGCCCTCTCCATTTTACAGCTCATATTTTTTCAGTGTGGGAGAGGACTGTAGGAGTTCAGCCCAAGAAAAGGTTGAGTAGCAAGTGAGTAGACAGCAATGAGTAGAAGTATGATTAGAGAGTTGCACGGTATTTTTGGTGTTACTGGGAGGCAGGGTGCATTGATAGAGAACATGTGACTCAAAAACTTAGTTGAATTCCAGTTTTCAACATGAACTTGTGGACAAGAGGCCCAGGCTCTCTGGCCTCTGTCTGCCTCAGAAGGTGGTAAGAAGGGTAAAATGAGCCATTAGACTGTCATGTACATTGTAGGTTGTGGTAGTATTACATTGGCTCAAAAAGCATGTGCAAGCATTCCATTTATCCATGTTGCTATAAAGCCAAACTGGTTGGGCCTGGCACAATGGGTCAGTGGCTAAATCCTCACCTTGTAAGCACCAGGATCCCATATGGGCACCTGGTCTTGGCTCCTGGTTCCTAGTTTCAGATCAGCTCATCTCCAGCCATTGCATCCACTTGAGGAGTGAACCAGCAGATGGAAGATCTCTCTCTTTCTGTGTATCTCTGTCTTTTAAACTAAAAAAAAAAAAAAAAAGATAGAAAAGAATGCCAAACTGGCTTTAAATCTCTGGAACCAGTGAACTCATATGCTATAAGCTAGGGTATTTCTTCCCAGTCCTTTTTTCTTAATTTGGTTCCATATATAATTTTCTATTAATTTTCTTTCTTTTTTTTTTTTTAAAGATTTAGTTTGAAAGGTGAAGTAACAGAAAGAGATCTTCTGTCCAGTGGTTCACTCTGGGGCTTGGGGGCCAAAGCCAGGAGTGAGGAGCTACATCCAAATCTCCCACATGAGTGGCAGGGGCACAAGTACTTGAGCCCTCACCAGCTGCTTTCCCATGTGCTCTAACAGGTGGCTGGACTGGAAGCAGAACACTCAGGACTCAAACAGGCACTGCAGAGCCAGCACTGCAGTTGTGGCTTAACGCACTGTGCCACAGTGCCAGCTCCACCTTTTAATTTTTTTTAACACTTTAACCTGTATGATCTAGGGCCACAATTATTGACATTTAAATATAATTTTAAAAATTAAGATTTAAAATTCAGTTCAGCTAGCCACATGTTAAATGCTCAGGAGTTTGTGGCTGCCACATTAGACAGTACAGGTGAGGGACTGAGGAAAGGTTCAGGTGGATAGCCCCCAGGCTATACGGTACAGAGTTTCAGTATGTCTGTTTTTTAAACAAGCCTTGTAATCTCATATGTATTTGTTTCATTTGCTCTGATCTTATGAAGTAGGTAAAGTGAAGCTTGTTTCTTTAAGAACATTAAGGTGCTTTCCAGTTAGGAAGAAAGGCTTCACTGAACTGAGAACCTGATGAAAGGTAATGAGTTTTCAGAACTAATGAGAAAATGGGTCACAAAGATTTAGGGGTTCAAAGAGCGGCTAGCCTGTCCAGAAATGTAATTGTATTTTGCTAGGTGTCATTTAAAGCCTGTCTTTTTCCTTTAAGATGCGAAAGAAAACCCATATGGTGAAGATGACAACAAGAGCCCATTCCCCCTGCAGCCCAAAAACAAGCGCAGTTACGCCCAGAACGTGACCGTCTGGATCAAACCAAGTGGCCTGCAGGTAACTCACCCTTGCATGCTCGCTTTCCACCGGGGAGAGGAGGCGCTGGGACACGCCAGTGGGCAGGTGCTTTGATTTAATTTTCCTTTCCTTTGAAACTTAGTAATTCATTTATTTCTAGTGTTTGTCATTATTTCCAAAAAGGATTTGAGATGGCCTTCAGTAAAACAAGTATATAACAAATCGCTTTTAATAAGATTTAGAGCAATAAGAAGCCTGAAAGGAAAAGAGATAATTGGGCCAGGGAGCCGGGGCAGGAATGAGCACTGTGTTGGAGCAGTTTGGCCCTGACCTTCCGGCTGCCAAGGTCAAAAAGGAAACCTGGGGACAGTGCAGTCTTTCAGTCTGACCAAAGGAAATTTGTCCTTCTGGAGCAGCATGCCTGCCTGGCATGGAGTGTGGTATTCTTCCCATGATGAGGCCTTGAATATATTACAGATTATCTGTCACAACAGTTTTGGAGGAAGCTTCAGGCGTCTTCGTGTGGCTCTTTCTTCCATCCCAGCCACAGCACTGCCTGGGGAGCCCGTGGGAACACTCTCATGGAAAGACAGTAACATGGTTCCCCGGGAGTGCTGCCTGCAGACAACAGACACAGGGACATTTTCTGCATTCAATCCTCCAGTGAATCCAACGTAAGCCAAAGGAGAAGAGGCAGGGGGTCTGCTGGCAGCCAGAGTAGCCTCTGACGACAGGGCAGGCCCCCTTCCACATGTGGCCATGGACACGAGGGCCAGGCTTCTCAGTCCTTTCCTGCCATCACTTGCTAGGCAGAAAAAGCATTAGAGCCACTTCTATCATCAGTTAGAAGTGAATTTTTCTTAAATCATTTTTCAAATTTGATCCTCAGTATGCATTTTTATGAAACACACACAAAATGTACCATTTTAAAGCATATGATTCAGTGACATTTGCAACATTTCACAGCGTTCTGCCACCATCAGCACTGTCTAATTCCAGAATATTTTAATCAGCCCAAACTAATGTTATACAAGTCATTCCACATTCCTTTCTTCTCCCAGGCCCCAGCAGCCATTAATCTCTTGTCTCGCCAGATTTACCTATTCTAGAGCATTCCTGTCAGTGAATCATGTAATTAACGGCCTTTGGTCCCTGACTTTTTTCCCTTTAACATCATGTTTTCATTCTCGTGACAGCATGTCAGTACTTTACTCCTTATTCTGTTGGGTGTTGTCTTATGTATACATAGTGACATTTTGTTTACCCATTCAGTTGAGGGGCATCAAGATTGCTTCTACCTTTTGGCTATTGTGAGTAACACTGTTACAAAGATTTGTGTATAAATCTTGTTAAACCTGTGTTCAGTGCTTTGGGACACATACATAAGAATGGAAGTGCATGACATGCTGGGTCATGGAGCAATTCTACCTTTAACTTACTGAGGAACATTCTCACAGCAGCCACACCAACAGTGCAGAAATGTTCCATTTTCCCCATATTCTCACCAGCTTTCACATCTTCACCAATACTTTGCTTTCTTGGCTATTTTTAGAATATTACAGGCATCTCATCCTAGGGAATGTCACTTTATGTGCATTTCCCTAATGACTAGTGCTGCTGTACATCTTTTCTTGAGCTTATTGGCCATTTGTTTATCTTCTTTATGCTGACGGTGTGTGGGTTGTAAGTGTTCAGCTTCTTTTATCTGTAGACTGTCCATTTCCTGGCATGGTCTAGTACTGTGCTTCCCCATTGAAGGATCTTGGCTTTCTTATAAAGAAAACCACCTGGCTAAAGATGTGTGGGGTTTATTGAGTGTGTTTTTATGAGACAAGGTAATCTCTTTTCCTGTTGAAGGAGGGTTTTGCTTTACTAATGCCAAACAGAAGGCCAACATTAACTCAGAACGATTCTCAGCTGTTCTGTTCTCATTTTCATTTCTTAAACATCTAGAGGCTTCCCTGTGTGCAGCTTCCCTTCGTACCACAGCCTTCTCAGACTGAATCCTTTTTTTTGTTCCTCACAGACAGATGTACAGAAGATTTTAAGAAATGCAAGGAAACTACCTGAGAAAACACAGACATTCTACAAGGTGAGGTTGTCAGTGTTATAGTGGAAGAGGGTGTGGTCAGAATAACTGATCACTCCAACAAGCATGTGAGGTAGCAGCGTGAACATGGCCAGGGATGAGAGATGTGTGTCTTGGGCCCCAGTTTTGCTATCAGTAAAAGCAGTGGACATGATTGGCTATTGCTGCCCTAGAATGCAAGCACTGGGCGTGTTTATGAGGGCGTGGGTATGTACATGGCAAGGCACTGCCATGAGGGGCTGAAGGGAAGCAGCTGGAAGCCCTCAACTCTCCCTACCACTGCTAAGTGCTTCAGCTGCCCAAAGCATTCTCACTGTACTGGAGAAGCCACTTCCAGAATGACTTCTCAAGCTACACACTCAGGGCTTGCAAAGAGGAGGGCCCTCTTGAATCATCCCGACTCAATCCTGAACCTTTAGAGAAGCCAAGGAAGTTACAAGGGAGGGCATAGTTAGACTCCTTACTTGTTTCTGGAATCTGGCTGAAATTAAGTACAGTGTAAGGTGAGCTGTGTTGTTCTTTGTGTCCTAGTTTGCTAATCTTGCTAAATGTGGCACATGCAGGTGGCAACCTCGGGCTAGGGCTACCAACTCTTCCCAGAGAACACACAATACTGCTCTGTCTGGGTATAATCTCATTAGCTGTGGCACGGTCTCCAAACCCAATCATGAGCAAGCTGACAAATCAAGCAAAGGCAACTTTCATCAGAGCTCAATGCCAAGTTGCAACCAGCCCGGCCCGTCCCTAGCTGGAATCCATCATCCACATAGGCCCTTCCTTGGCTGCTGTCCCCATCTGTCCCTGCTGAGCTCTCTACATATGACTGCCAGCTTCCTGTTCAAGGCAGTGTGCTTACACGACTATGCTGGTATTTCAGCCTTCTGAACTTGTCACTTCTCAGACAACGGTAGAGACATAGCCAGAAAACCCTTTCCTCACCTCAGCTTGGCTATAATCCTACACACAGTGGAGCTAGGAAGGACCTCTGGCATCTGACTGCATCAGCCCCTGCAGGGGACACCAAATGGGTCACCCTCAGATCCCACACCAAGAGGCTGGCGGGCACTTCGTGTCTGTCTGCTTCATCCACTGCCTGGCCTTTTGTGGTTACCTCCTCTCAACATGTGCAGTACCAGAGCCTGAGATCCCATCAGAGAGGCCCCAGAGGACCAAGTGATCTCTGAGATTTAGTGCACGCCCTTTCCATTTCCGAGTAACAGAGGGAAAGCACCCTCCTTGTAGTTAAGTTAAATGTATGCAGTGGGCCTGCCACCGTGTTTGACAGCAGATATTCATTAACCAGGAATGCTACCACTTGTGCTTGAGTGGGCTATCTTCTTGGTCCAAGCAGCTGGCCACCTGCAGAGGAACCACGTCCCAGTCATCTCACACTTTGTTTTGGCATCTACATCTCGGGGCTGGGCATTTGGCACAGCAGTTAGGATACCTGCAATACCCACAGCCCTATCGTGGTGCCTGGGTTCATGGCTTCAGCCTACTACCAGCCACTGTCACACGCCTTGGGAGACAGTGGTGACCGCTTCAGTAGTTGGGGGTCCCTGCTGCTCACACAGGAGAGCAAACAGGAGCTCTCAGGTAAACGAATAAAGCCCCACAATGTTGTGCATATGTGAAAGCACTCCCTAAAGCTCAGGAGGCCTTGTGTCCAGCCAAGTCCTCAGGGTGCCGAGAAAAGGCTTCAGAACATCAGTGTCTGTCTGCTTTCAGGAGCTGAACCGTTTACGAAAGGCCGCTCTGGCCTTCGGATTCCTGGACCTGCTCAAGGGGGTGGCTGACATGCTGGAGAGGGAGTGCACGCTGCTGCCCGACACGGCCCACCCCGACGCTGCCTTCCAGCTGACCCATGCTGCCCAGCAGCTCAAGCTGGCCAGCACGGGCACCTCCGAGTACGCTGCCTATGACCACAACATCACACCTCTGCACACAGACTTCTCTGGGAGCAGCACTGAAAGGATGTAAAGCTGGCCTTTTGAAGCCAACTTTTTTCCTATCAGTTGAAAATGAGTAAAAACCATTCCAGGATGGTCACCCCTAAAACAGCCACCCAGGAGCCTCTCTAAGACTCCCCCAGAACTACCACTTGCTGGTTGGAAAAATTGAGAAGGCTTCAAGGGTGCTAGCTTCCCAGAGCCTTAAAACCCAAAGGACAGCTGTTGCTCAGGGACGGACACAGGGACAGCTGTCGCTCTGGGGATGGACACATTTCCTGAGACGCTTGAATGACAGATGAGCACAGGGCACACTGAACGCAGCTCTGTAACCGAAGACATTTTCAAACTTCTGTCCTTGGGATGCACAGCCATCCACACTGCCTGGAGCTTGCAGAGTACAAATCAACACCACCAAGTGTGGGCACCCTTAAGCACCTCTGTATGATTGAGTTCCAGACTTGAAACTTTAACCACATGTGTAAATAAATGATCCCTATTTCCTTTTTTAAAAAATGAAAATAAATATTTGATTTTCTATAAAAATGGTTCCACTGTAAAATTAATAGTCCATTGTTTTTTGGTCTGTCCTATTTGCTTGCATATAACTACAGTTTCCCACATGGCATAAATTCATCAATCATGACACTGATTTAGCCTCATTATTTAAACCAGCTCCTGGCCAGCAAATCTCAAAAGGTCAGTTAGGGTTCCAATCCACCAGCTAGCTTCAGGACCCGAGGCAAGTCACAGCACTTCTCAAGGCTTTGTTTCCTGCAGCAGGGTGGTGACCGTCCTCTGATGCAGCTCCCTCAGACTCAACCAGAGCAATGCGTCTTGGTTCAACAGGCTGAACTGCCAATGGACTCTATCACCAATGCCTGGGACACTGAAATGAAATGATCCTTGAGCACACACTGTCAGGATTTTGACTGCAAATGCTTTAATAGAAATACACAATCTCACTTTCTCGGACAGCAAGAAAGGGATTTGAAAGAAACACTGAGAATATAGGGTTTTGCCACAAGGATGCAGCAGCAGCTACTGCATAGCGGGTTTGCCCAGTCACACAAAATCAGTTGAAAGAACGTCAGAAGTAGCACAAACAAGTGTTGACAGAAGTTACAGACATGCAAAATACCCTTCAGTGCAATGGATTTTAAAGTCAGCCAGCCTTTGTTCATCATATGAGTTAGGTCAAGCAAGTTTCCACACTGGGCTCAGTGTACAGCAATATAACTCATTACCTGAGTGTCCTTTCCCCAGGAACAATGGTGGAACAGGAGCTGCCAGGCCTTGAATTCTACACAAGTGCTACCAACTTCACTTGGAATGTCTTAGAGGAAACTTATTTTTTTAAGTTGTCAACCATAACAGCTAGATGGTTTTGGTTTTGGTTTTTTTTTTTCAGTTTTGTTTTTATTGTTCCCCATTTGGTGGGTTTCTTGCCAGAAATCCTTGCCTAAAGGATTAGCTGGTAGCAGCCAAAGTTCCTGCATCATTTGCAGGGTCCTACTACAGATGGGTCTAAAAAGGAAGGAGAAAAGCCAGTCTAACGATAGCAGAGCAAATGGTGGCTTTGAGATTCAAAAATGGAGTCTTCCCACTCACTCAGAAAATACTGCAATAAATTGACTCAGCTAGTGTGGGAACCGAGATGGACTTTATGAGGGCTTGCATGTGCTGCGACAGTTTCATGGGCCTGTTTGACCTGCTCTGTGTTGCCCCCGGCCTCAGGCTGCATGGCCAGCGGCTAGACTACTGCCAGTTGGATCCAGATACTTGTTTCCTCCTCTGGAATGCTTATAATCTCACTGTTTTCCAAATAAGATATCATCCTCCTTTGGTCTTGGAAAAGGTGTTTCTGTTTTAGCTAGGGATACAATGATCACAGTGTCGCCAGGTTCTGACTGGATTTTCTCAACTGATTTTGTGCCTCCCAGTGCCCACAGTGGCAAGCACTGTGCTAACAGATGTTGTCAGGCCAAAAGGTGTCAGACGTAAAACATGTTCAGCCCCTCTGTTTTATCAATCACTGAGTGTATTCAATGTTAAAAAGTCAATACCTCCCCACTGAAACAAGCCACTCCAGGGGTGCAGGTTTCTATCAAGCCCTTTCCCAGTCACTTGCCCAGCCTTCCTTCCACAGAGCAGTCTAGCCGTGCTTTTATTTACAAGCAAAAGCCAAAAAGGACAAATCTCACTCTAAGGATGGCCAGCGGCTCGTAGGGCTATGGCGTGGATGAACCAGACTGGACCAGAGCGGGTGGGGGTGGGGCCGAGCCTGCTGCCCAACTGACTGCACACACGAGAGTGAGCCTGTCACCAGATATCAGGGATCCATGTCATGCAGCTACCACACTAAGATACTTCGGGAAATTCAGGACTGTGACTGGGGAAAAGAAAGAAAGCCTCGCTGAGAACAGAATCATTTAACTTAAAAAAAAAAAAAAACTTTTTACATGGGGTACAAGTAGGTAAAACTGTAAGAACACAGATTAGGCCCAGACTGGTCAGAAGCCATCTATAGCTCTCCTTTTAGTGGACCTTTTTCTTTTTTTGTCCATAGCGCCGCCTGCGCTGCTTATAAAGGTGACGGAAATTTATATATAACCCTGGAAAAGAAGAGAGGCTGGTTAGAAGTGAGCATTTGTGCCTTTATCTATTTATAACCAAAGAGCTCTTGGGGCAGGGAAGGTCTTTGGTCTGCACTTATGGCTATTGCTCAGAAGTCCACCTGAGGACATACAGTTAGCATTGTGCTACGGACCGCCTGAGTCTTCCTCAGTGAACTGCCAACCTGGGATCTCACCTATTTTATTACAAACAAGATGAAGTCACTGCACCGTGACCACCTCCTACATTGAGGGTTTGGCTGCACTGGCTTTCCCAGGGACCTGGTTACTGCCTGCCTCTCAGTGCACCCTGCACATGGGGCTAATTGGGGGGCACACTGCTTTTTCCTTTCTGTGCAGAGCGAGATGCACACCCCTGAAGCCTAGAGAAACAAGCCCATTTTTCATTCAAGGCAAATGAAGGACATCTATGAAGCAACAGTCTGGATTGCATGTGTCACTTTTCCAGGAAAACACAATTTGGAATTGTGAATTTGAAAAAAAAACCTAAGATTTCAGAGTCGGAGACAAATTTCACTCCACCTTGATAACTGACTAGCTCTGTGGCTTGGCCGCACCTCCGTTTCCCCAACTGTTCCTGGGTTTACAGACTTCCTGGGAGAGGATGAACGTGTATACAAAGAAGAACCCAGTCCCTCTGCAAGCTGACTGCTTGCACAGTTTCACAATTGAAAATGTGAATTAGGGCTTACTTCACTCTGAAAAACAGCAGGAACTACACATCCAGTACAAGCAAGAGCATAAATCCTGGCAGCTGAGTATGGAACAATCGGAAGAACCCAAAGATCTGAGGGTGAGTATGCATTAAAATACCCCTCTACAGTTTTCAGTGTAAGATTTCAAGTGTCTTTCTCATACTCATTCCTCTTCATCACCATCACACCCACTGCACCCTTGCTAACAGAATAGTAGATTTTTTACAGCTCTTTTAATGAGTGCATTTTCCAAACTCTAGTTTACTCTAAGAAACAAAATATTTTCACATTTTTTGGTAAGACACTTTTCTAAAATGGATTGTATTCTTTGCTGAGTAAGAAATGGAATAAACGATAACCTTTCACAAAAGATCTAGACTCCTCAATGTGTGTCACTGAAGCTGACATCTGCCATTTACTGCTACCATGGGACTCAAAGGGACGTATGTCTCTTCCACCCTACACTAAGTAAGTTAGACCACTGGGCTTCAGGCTTCCTTCTTGTGGTCTTCTAGCTGACTTCAGTAGCCAGCTGCAAAAATGATTCCCAGAGCACAGCGGGTTAAGACACTGCCTGCTACACCAACACCCCACAGGATGCCAGTTCTAGTCCAGGCTGCTCCACTTCCAATTAAATGAATACATGTCTTAAGGATGTTTTCTCTTACTTGTAAAGCTTTCGTTATGTTCTGTCCCCCCCTTAATTTAGTTCTTAGTTTGTATGCAGTAGGGCAGGAACTGCAATTTCACACAAACACAAATTGATAGGCGAGCAGGTCTGACACGAGGAGCAAGGGTTCCTTCTCATGGGGATGGGTGGCAGGACAGCCGAGGGCTGCTTGGAGGCCTTGCCTCCCCTCCTTTCCAAGTGCGCCCTAGGCTGTATGAAACACGCAGCATCTTGGCCCAGTGAGCGAGAGCTCCGGCGGGATGCAGCCGCCGGGGACTCCCCGACCAGGTCTGTTCTTACGGAACAAGCTGGCTCCACTTCACTGTATCTGGAAACGGCGGCTTTTTCTGAACCTTTGAACCATTTTCCACTACCCTCCAAGACGTGGCGGGGAAAAGCCTGTTACAGAGCCAGTACTTACCCAGAAACAACAGTATGAGATAAATCTGCAGGAAGAAGGAGAATCTAACTTTGATATTCACAGGATAGGGCAAGGTGAAGCTGAACCGTCCCGTCTCATTGAACACTGGGATGGACTGGATCACCGCCACAGCTGAAAGCAAGCACAAGTGTTGCTTAGGAGCAAAGGGGAATGTTGCCTCCAGGGACAGGGACAGGCCCATTCCCGCAAAGCCCTCACTCCGGGTGTGTGGGGGCCATCCCTCTCCCCAGCCCAGAGAGCTATGTCTCTTCCTTCCCTTCCTCCTAGCTTTCTTGGGCCTCAGCCCCCTGAGCCAACAGATGCAGAAGGCACAGTTATGTCAATGGGCCTAAGTCTCCCATTCTACAAAATGGGGAGAAAACTGCCTCCTCATTCACCAAGTGTCTGACAGGATGCAATGAAGTCAGCGGTGAGAACCAGCTCTGAATGACACACAAGAGGAGGCAGGCAAAGTCCAGCCATTCAGCCTCCACATCTTACAAAAGGAACTACTTCCCCCAGAACATTCTGGACACTACCAGTATTATGAAAGGCAGCCACAACAGCAAAATCCATGAGGTTTTCTACACCTGACTCATAACATCAAGGCTGGCCATGGGGAGAAAGAAGGCCTGGCTTCTTAGTCACTGGAAAGCCCTTGGGGCCAAGCTGTGAACCGCCGAGCTACAGAAAATACCTTCGGCCAAGCATCCCAGGGGGTAGGTGGGAATCCACACGGTGTAACGCAGCCAGGTGACCACCTTCCAATCCATGTCAAGGCAGGTCAGCATGTAGAAGGGGTACCTGAAGGAAACAATGAACTCTGGGGTCAGAGGTTACCTCGGTGCTCAGTGCCGGTCTGGAACAGCATCAAGTGTGTGTGGAAGGGCCATCCCTCCACTAGCCACATGTGGCTTCTTCACAACCAACTGGCAGCTCCCAACAATCCTCCCACAAATGGGATCACTGTTTTTTTTTATTTTTTTTTAAAGATACATTCATTCATTCATTCATTCATTCATTTGAAAGGCAGAGTTAGAGAAATCTTCTATCTGCTGGTTCACTTCCCCAAAAGGCTGCAATGGTCAGGGCTGAGCTCAGCCAAAGTCAACAGTTTCATCTGGGTCTCCCGGGTGGGTACAGGGACCCAAGCATTTGGGCCATCTTCCAAGCTTTTCCAGGCAAATTAGCATGGAAATGTATTGGAAGTACAAGAGCTGGGACTCAAAACATATGGGAATGCCAGTGTTGACAACATCAGCTTAACATGCAATACCACACCAGTGGTCCCTGGGTCAACTGGTTTTAAAGGTATTAGTTTTAGTGACAGTTTAGAATGGAAAAATCAGACAGGAGATCAATTTAAAACTTGAGTGATTTTATTGCAAGCTGGTCTTGGTTAATTCCAAAGTGGGGCCCGCAGCTCTCAGCCCTTTCAAGATTTCTCTGAGGTGGGTGGATCCTCAGGTCTTCCCCATCAGACAGCAGGACGGATATTACATTTCTCGGCTTTTCTCCTTCTGCTCCCAAGTGCCCACCAGGCTGGCCCTGTGCTGCAATGACTGGTGGTGCAGTGGGTAAGATTCCACTTGATTCGCCCACATCTGTCAGAGTGCGTGGGTCCCAGCTCTGCCCCAAAAGCTGCTGCTGACAGTGCGGGTGACAGCTCAAGTACTTGGGTTCCACATGACAGATGTGGCCCGGGCTGTCAGCTACTGGCCTCAGCTTGGCTAGGCCCTGGCTGCTGTGGGCAGACGGGAAGTGAACCAGCAGATATAAGATCTTCATCAGTACGTCTACCTCTGTCTTTCACATAAACTAGCTAAACAAAAAAACCTAAAACTTAAAAAAAAAAAAAATGTAGCCTCAACCCTGCAGGGCACAGAGAAGCAGCAAGACTTCTCCACATAGACAGAATCTGAACTCAAACTCAATATGACTGAGACCCAACCTCCCTCAGGACAGCGACTCCAGAGACAGAGAGAGAAGCCATGAGACAGAACCGTGACCTTTCCACCCACCTGAAAATCTCTATTATGCTCCACAGGTAAAACACAAAGAAAACCACGGCTTTGTTCTGCATTTCCTCCATGGTGCCAAAGATGATGAACAAAATGAAATTTCTTCCTAGAAGCTATTGAAAAGACCAAAGATAGAAAGGTTAATGTAAATCTGTTACCTAAAACAGTAAATGGCAAACACTGAGCCTTGCTGGTTTCATCCTATTCCGGTTTTAGAACAAGTTAGTGTGCAAACCCATCTTTCTGGTATCCACTTCTGTGTAAGTAAAGTATTTTCACGCACACACACACACACACACACACACGATTTGAAGAACACTGCCAAATTATCCTGTGTCTACAGAACCCAACTCAGGAACTAGGGCCCAACAAGCATGGCTCTCCCGTAACTGCCCTGTGTGATGCTTCCTGTCATCCCTGTTTACAGGTGTCACTGAGGCCTGGCAAGGTTGATTTCTTGTAGAAAAGTGTGAGTTTGCTTCTGCTGGCATCTGAGGGCATCAGCAGGCCAGGGTCACTTTCAATACAATTTGCATTAAAGTTGAGGACTTCAAATAAGTCAATATGCATTAATTTATATTGACATGGGAAACCCAGAAAGAAGCTCCAGGCCCCTGGACTTGGATCAGCTCAGCTCTGGCCATTGCGACCATTTGGAGAGTGAACCAGAAGATGGAAGATCTCTCTCTCTCCTCTCTCTTATTATCTTTCCTTATCTTGGTATCTCCCTCTTTCAAATAAATAAATAAATCTTTTTTTTAATTAAAAAAATAATAATACAAAATACTCAAAAAGTGACCCCCACTTGAACCCTCCTTTCCTGTCCCAAGATCTCTATACACTCCCACAGCTGTTTCCCAGGGAATGCATGCCAGTTGTTCAGATCCTTGAGGGCTGGAACAACTTGTCCTGTGCACAGAAAAAGTCCTCATCAGCCTTAACTGCCCCCACCAACTTGCTATGGTCAATGCAGCTCCACTTTCCAGTCAAACCCATCCTGCCCCAGCCCCAATGCACATCCAGCCCCACATACTGGACTCCTCATCCAAGACATTCCTTGGGGCTAGGTGCTGCACTAGTGTTGACAAGTTCCACTTAAGCCTTGTTTTTAATTGTCCTTGGTGCACACAGAATTATTCTGTTATTAGCGAGTTACTCACGATGCCTTTTTACCTTTAAAACCAAACACAACAGACTTTCTTCCCAGAGGCTGAAAACCCTAAACAATAAAGCCAGTCAACCCTGTAACCACTGCTGCCAGAACGCCATGGTTGCTATCACTACAGGGCAAAGGGGAAAGGCAGCAACACGGCTCTCAGAAGTCACCTGGCCACCCTGCACCTGGGTGGGTGGTACTTCCTGGTCCGTGAACACATAGCCCACAAACAGGGCACAGCGTGTAAAGACCCACAGTGCCCATCCACACCTCCCTCGGGCAACATCGATGGGGGTGGCGAGGACATTCCCACAGTTGAGTCAGATGCACCTGAGGAAGGCCAGTGTGAGAGCTGTTCCGAGGAATGTCACTGCCTTCCTCTACCCAGTCAGGGAGGGGACCACGTGCATTTCTAAGTGGATCAAGGACATGTTTTTCTGCCCCCTGAAAATCAACTTCCCTTCGTTTCCAGGCTCTCTTTGGAAGAGGGTAATTTCCCAAGGATGCTGCAAACAAGAGCCTTAAAATGGTAAACGCCTGCTCTGGAAAATGCCCTTGTATAATCTGTGTTATTTCTGGGCAAACAAGTGTCTTTGCTGAGACTTCCTGAGCAAACTGCTGGTGCCCGTAGTAGACAAACACCTTTGAGTCGCGCTGCTGAGCTCAGCTGTTCAGTACCTGGATGAGACAAGGCAGCACCGGGGACTTAGTGACTCCAATCGCTGCATTGATGGTCTCCACAGCCGCCAGCATCTGGCAGAAATACATCATGTCGGCCACTGAGTGGAAGGTGTCGTAGAAGGACTCTGCGAAACAAGCACACATCACATGAACCACCAGGAAAGGAGCTTTAAGAAAGGCACGGCAAGCATCGGCAGATCCCAGCTTTCACGCCTCCATGGTCAGCGATGGTAAATTCCAGAAAGCTGACACACACTGCGTGCCTTCCTCATCTTCAAAAGGCTTTGACAAAAGTTCCCCTATACTACATTCAGTTCACCACACCAAAAAAATCTATGCATCTGGCACAGGGATAATTCTTTTCAGATCTGCCACGTCATTTAACCTGAAACTGTATCACATATATTGAATGCAATCATTTAAAAATCTGGAAATGAGCCTGATGCTGTAGCCTAGCGGCTAAAATCTTTGCCTTGCATGTGCCAGGATCCCAAATGGGCATTGCTTCATGCTCCAGCTGCTTGTGGCCTACCTAGAAAAGCAGCAGAGGATGTCCCAAAGCCTTGGAACCCTGCATCTGCATGGGAGACCCAGAAGAAGCTCCTGGCTCCTGACTCCTGACTTCAGGTCAGCTCAGCTCCAACCGATGTGGCCACTTGGCAACCAGCAGATGGAAGATCCTCGTCTCTCCTCTCTATAAATCTGACTTTCCAATAAAAATAATAAACCTAAAAAAAAGCAAACTAAATCCTGGCAACTACTGAATAGAATTAGGTTTTGAAAACTTTGATTCTGTTTTTATCTTTAAAAGTTTTTTTTTAATTATTGCCTATTTTCCTATTATTTGAAAGATAGTAAGACAGACAAACCAACTAAAAAAGATTGTCTGATGGGCCCAGGCGCCATGGCCTAGCAACTAAAGTCCTTGCCTTGAAAGCGCCAGGATCCCATATGGATGCTGGTTCTAATCCCGGCAGCTCCACTTCCCATCCAGCTCCCTGCTTGTGGCCTGGGAAAGCAGTCGAGGACGGCCCAAAGCCTTGGGACCCTGCACCCGTGTGGGAGACCTGGAAGAGTTCCTGGTTCCTGGCTTCGGATTGGCACATTGTGTTCAGTTGGGGAGTGAATCATCGGACGGAAGATCTTCTCTGTCTCTCCTCTTCTCTATATATATCTGACTTTGCAATAAAAACAAATAAATCTTTAAAGAAAAAAGATTGTCTGGTGGTTCATTCTCAAAATGGCTTCAACAGACAGTTAGGGCAAACTAAATCCAGGAGTCTGGAATTCAACACTGGTGCTTCATGTGGGTGACAGGGACCCAAGTATTTGAGCCACCAGCTGCTGCCTCCCAAGGCACACATGAACAGGAATCAGGGACTGAATACAGAGACGGATCTGAAACCCAGGCACCCTGAAGTGTGATGCCAAAATCTCAAGGGCTGAATGCCAGCTCCCTGAACGCATCTTTAGACCTATTAATTCCTATTCTGAGAGCTACCTTAGTGTGATACATTTTAAATGATAAACAAGGTTGTTCTCTGAAACATAATTACGTTCCTGGAGAAGCAGCAGGTGAAGGTCAAGTGCTTGGGACCCTGCCAAGCCCAGAGGGCAGGATGTGGTTCCTGGCTCCTGGCTTCGGCCTGGCCCAGAACTGCTTAAGGCCATTCAGGGAGTGAGCCAGCAGATGGAGGCACTCCTCTGTCTCTCCCTCTCTCTGCTGCATGGTTTTTCAAATAAAAACAGCAAATAAACATTTCTTAAAAGGTGGAAACGCTCTAAACATGTGAGAGTATAAAGCATTTCCACAGTCTACAGTCTAGCTGGCAGAATTGCTTCAGTTGAGGAAAAAAAAGTATTAAATGTACTAAGTGTTTCTTAGCAGAGTGTGAGAGCTGGCGGCTGTTGTGCACTGAGCCTGAGGAGTTTGTTAAGTACATATTTACATTAAAAAGACACACATGTAGAACTGGCTGTTTATCGCTATCTATTCAAAAGGAGAAAATTGTACCTGCCCCAGTGCCAGGCCGCAGGCTGCTATTACACCTGTGAAGGCTGCTCAGGGAAGGACTGAGCCAGCAGTGCCCTTCCAGCAGGCACTTAGGGAGAGGCTGTGAGCCCTAAGAGAAAGGACCAACGCAGCCCCCCGTGTTACACACCTGACCCAGCTTCTCCAAGCAGCCTGCCCAACGACCTCTCACACGCAGATCTGCTGGCCGTGGGTGGCCTCCCACTGGCCACAGCTCTATCTATTTCAGCACATGTCCTCTTTGCAGAACAAATCACAAATAGTATCTTTATTTTTCATTCCTCTACCCCTACTGGTTAAACATCTTCCCATACAGGAGGAAATCAGTTTCATTTGCTCTCACATAAATTGCCTGGTTGTCACTATTACGTGGAATTTTCACATTATCAATTAATTTGTTCAAGGTCCTTACAGGTAAAGAAACCAACGGCCCCATTCCTATGCTGCCTTTCACCTTAGAATACTCTTCATCTGTAATGCAACTTTATTGGGCGTCTTTTAGCGACACGGGAATTTATTTGATGCAAATATACTGACTTTTTAAAAATCACATAGTCTTTTAGCACTTTTAGTTTAGAAAGTGAGATTTTTAGAAACATGTACTTAAATCTTCTACCATGACTCCATTTTTGGTAGATGATTCAAATGCTTTGGGGAGTTATTTTTATATACAGTAACAGAACCAGATTTCTTGCACCCAAATCGGTAATTTTCCTTGGAAACACTGGATTTCCCATCCAAAAATAACAACAATAATAATTAGAAAACATTGCCTTTTCCAATGTTTCACACTTCTTTTTACCACACATTGTAATTCAGATGTGTGTAAGAGCTGGGCCTCCGTACCTTACCCTGCTTGCTAAGTGTTCCTACGCCAATGCTCTGCCTCCCTCCATTCCCGTACTTTAATATCTGAAACAGAATGTCCTCTTCCATGCTTTTTCACCCTCCAATGTTATTACCTGTTTATGCTTTATTCTTAATAGCTCAGAATACTTGAGAGCAAATTCTCAAAAGTCTGATTTTGGCCAGAACTCTGTTAGTGGAATGAATGGAGGAAGAACTAGTATCTTGATGAAAGTTTTTTCATGCTGCTGTAGGATAGTCTCTTCTAGAATTGACTTGGGCTCTAAGACAGTGAGTCCCTCTAGGACTTGCCCAACTTTGGCTAGACGCTTCGTGTCACTTACTCAGCTATTAACAAAGTAGTAGTGAACACAGAAAAAAGTGCTGGTCCAAGATGCGTCCCAGCAGGCTCTGTGGATGTGAACCGTTACTTGGCCAGCCCTAGCTCTGTTTCCTCACCTGCTAAATGGAAGGAGTATCTAATTGGTATGTGTCACAAGGCCATGGGAACTAAGGTGTGGGCAGACATGGTAAAAGGCTAGACCCACGTCCGGGTTATTGTTAACATCGGAAGTGCCGAGTGCTACCCCTGGTGAGCAGCCAAAGTGAGAAGTGGTCAAGGAATTCCTTACTTGCCTTTTCCCAAGATAAAGAACCGCACTGTCAAGTTGACAAAAATCCAAGAGAAGCCCAGGAACTGCACCAGATTATACATGAACAGGTATCCCTTCCGCAAGCTTGCGAGAGCTGAAAAGCAAAGCAAGAGAGAAAGCCATTAGATGCCAGAGCACCGCTTGTCAGGGGTGAACGGGGCACATCTGGGTAATCTCAACCCTTTTTCATGCCCGTGAACTCCCCTGCAAACAGCTGGCCTAGGTCTTCAGCAGCCAAGCTCCTGCCCCGATAGAAGCACATGAGGAAGAATCAGGGGGTGCAGCTCTGTCTTTCCCAAGAGATAAGATGCAGATTGATAAGCCCAGGGAAAAGGACTACCCTGGCAGATGGTGCCTGACCTCCCTGAAGGTCTCCTCAGCTCCTGCTCTAGTCATCTTGGTATAACCTGCAGCTTCCTCACTCTGGGAATATTTTTTTTTAACAGCCATGTAGGGCAAATTAGCTCAAGGAGGCAGAAACACCAAATGAAAAAACCAATCTTCGTTGACGTATTTAGTTATTCCTGGGCTACAGATAATTTAGCATAGACTCTCGGCTGATGCTCAATAGCATTTAAAAATGTGACTACTCAAAAGTACCCTCAGAGGGCTGACATTGTGGCTTGGTGGGTAGAGCTGCCACCTGCAATACCAGCATCCCATATGGGCACTGGTTCATGTCCAGTTGCTCTACTTTTGATCCAGCTTCCTGCTAAAGTGCATGGGGAAAGCAACAACTGTTCAGGCCCCTGTCACTCACATAAGAGATCCAGACAAAACTCCTGGCTTCTGGCTTCAGCCTGGCCCAGCCCTGGTAGTTTACAGCCATTTGGGGGAATAAATCAAGAGCTTTCTCACTCTCTCTCTAATTAGTGGCTACTCAAATATTTTTTTAAAAAATCCTTTGCAAAAAAAACCTTATCCAGAACCCCAAGGTGTAAAATACAAAGAGCTTCTGGAGGGGGCGGACGCCTGGGGGAGCTTGCTCAGCATTCCTCAGAAGCACTCGGGGAACCTCTGGTGTACCATGGAATGCAATGCAAAATCTCCTCTAAACCGTCCCCCTTCTTCATGGCACACAAGTCAGTGCCACTGAATCCTGGGCAAGTCCCTGGTGGGATGGCTGAAGGGCTTTTATTTCAACCTGCTGCTCAAAGCTGGTCATGCACAGACCAAGTTATCCCACTGAATACTCATTCCTGAGGGTACAGGGGCTACAGCAGCCTCCCTTGGCTCCTCATCAAGGGTCTCGTGAAATGTTTCCCACACCACAGAAAGCAAATAGACAGCTGCTAGATTTAGTCTAACTATGTTACCCAGAAGATAAGAGCTCCTGGCTTCTGTGGTTGGACAAATAGAAATAGAAATGAACTTTTCAAAGGTTAGTAAGTAGCAGGAGTAGCCAGCACACTTCCTGCTGAAAACTGGCAGGCACACTTCTCTACAGCTAGGGGAGCATGCCCTGGAACCCATATATACACCTGCGGCTCTGTGTTCGATCTGGCTGCCACCTGCCATCAGGTAGCCCAGGATACTGAGCTTCTTTCATTCTGCTGCATGGTGTTGCCTACTCAGAGGATGCCAGGCCTCAAACAGAAAGCAAACGCCGAGGGCAAAACTTTGGATGTGGGTACGGGACATAAAGGATTCCCACAAGCTCACTCACGCAGTCCTCTGGGGTGAAGTCATTAGCTTTCCTGCATGTCCCACTCACCCTGCCTCTACCACAAGTGGTAACCATCACGTCAACAGTGGGTACTTACATTCAGGGGAGCTCTCATTTTCCAGCCGGAGCTTGTTTAAACGTTCTTCTTCCTGGAATTCAGACAGAAATTTTCCAAGAACACAGTTAACATTCCCAGACATTTGCAGGAGCTCACATTCTTGGATCTTCATCCACCTGCCCAGCCACCTCTCTGACTATGCTCAGTGCTCCCCAGGGCACCAACTCCTAGCTCCTGGCATACCTGGCGTAACCTGTTGTAGGCCTTCACACTGCAGGATGGCCCTCCAGTGTTCCTAACTCTGAGTCAATCCACTGGCTTCCAAACTGCCAAGTGGGCAGCCCTGCAGTCCTGGAGCTAGAGGATTTGGCACAGGGAAACTAAGCTTAAGGTGGGGAGTGGATGGCAATTTTATTTTCTGAGACTTCTAGATTTTCAGTGCAGTTTTTCCAGAAGCCAAGAAAATGTCTGTAACGTAAGTGTGAACTCATATTGAGTTTAACATAGAACTCAACGTATTTAGAACATGGACATGAATAGGTATCTCCTTGCCCTACTAGTCCAGCAGGCCTAAAAGCAAGGACATCCTACAGCAAAGAGCTCTCCAGGGCTGGTTTCCAACACCATTCTTAAGGAAAAGAAGAGAGCTCTTTGGAGAAATGGCTGAGCTAGAAAGTCTGTGATAAAACTTACAACAGACTGTAGTGTCAGAAATTAATGAATTACTCAAGAAAGAAAAAGTCCTACAAGGATAGAACTTTCTCAAAAGGAGACAGAGACCAAGAGAAAATAAAAATGGTATTTGATGATGACCCCAAGTACAAAAATAAATACACATGAGTTCACACTGATATACATAAATGGTTAATAAGTAACTAAATGGGAAGAGAACACACAAATCTGTGGTATGGAAGAATTCAAATTACATTAGGTGGATATTTCTAAAGAAGCATAGCCCCGCCCCACCCCGCTCCAGATGTGTGGGCTGTGTAGTGACTTGCTTCCAATAAGAAGGTATGGGTAGGGGTACAGAGAGAGACTCCCAACAGCTGGCCCGATGTGAGCAATAACAATGACAGCTCAGGGGCACAATGAGGGTGTACCCCCATGTACTCTGGCAAGAATGTACATTACTGGTGGTTTTCTCAAAAGCCCCCACCCTTGTCCAGCCAGAACAAATCCCAGCTGAGCAGCATTCAACATACCAGACAACCAGTACCTGTCTAAAATCACATCCCCGGGTCTTTGAAGGAACCTATAACTCTTCCTTCTACCAGACCCTGAGTCATCCAGGTTAACCTGGGTGACTTTAACCTCATGATTTCCGTCTTCAATAGCTCATTCCCAAGACTTTACCAACCTTAGCTCTGAGCTCCATCTCTGCGTCAGACTCATCCAGCCAGCGATCAAAGTCAGGGGCCAAAAACAGTGGGCGCTTCTCCTGCTTGGTGAGTCTCTCCCACCACTGACTCATCTTCTTCTGCACCGTAATGTTCACCTGCCTCTGGGTCAGTTTATAAGCCGGCTAAGAGAGAACATGAGAAGGTGAGAATGGCTTCCTCCCTTCCCCAATAACACACCAGCCTCCTGGGGTTCCCCAGTGAAGCTCTGCAGCAGGTTTACCCCCTTTTCTTCCCTGCTCCCCTCCAGCCTGACACCCTAGGCAGGTACAGAGACTGGGTGGTAGCAACATGGTCTTCTTGTGCGATTCCCCATTGTGTGACACAGGAAGAAACCTGGAGAAGGGCAAGTGGCTCTTGGTTAACCAAGAGGGAGGTCACAGTAACCTCCTGCCAGGCCCAGGGAGCTCCAAACCCCTTCTCTGGGGCACACATTGCTTCCAAAGCTTCCTCCCATGAACATGAGATCCCTGGTTTAGCACACCCTTGTTTCAGAGGACGTCCACATCAGGAGGCCCCAGCTCAATTACATTTCCAGTGTTGGCCTCCACTAAGGAGTTCACCCAACTACACTCAAGCCTCGAATGGCTGTTCACTCTTTGTTCACACAACCCCTGCCCTTGCCTCCAAAGTAAGCTCCAAAACAGGTTCTCAGAGCAACCGAGCATCAGCTGGGAACCTGTGAACTCTGTAATGGGGAAGCCAAATTACACCATCTACAAGCCAGGGGTGCTTCCTCAGCTTCAGGGAGAGGACCCTCGATTATGTTTCCAACACTGTTTCTAAGACCAGCTGCCTTCATCCTTGCTGATCTGTTTTTCTCCCCACCCCTGTAACAATCACATGAAAGTAATCCCTCGTCTAGACTTCAGCTAGTCTTTTCTTTCTTTAAGTTCATTTATTTTTATGTGAAAGAAGCAGAGGTATAGAGCAAGAAGGAGAGACAGAAAGAGATCTTCCATCTGCCGTTTCACTCCCCAAATGGCCACAACTGCCAGAGCTGAGCCGATCCAAAGCCAGGAGTCAGGTCTTCCACATGGGTGCAGGGACATTCCAGCCATCTTCTTCTGCTTTCCCAGGCACATTAACAGGGAGCTGGATCAGACTGGACTAAACCCCAGCACCCACTGGCGCTCATGAGAATCAGGGAGGGTATAGGGCTAGGTCTCAGTACCCACTAAACCATGTGAGAGCTGGGTCGGGGTGTGGACCAGGTGTAGCTAAGCTGTAGCACCCAACAGTAAGACCCAGAATGGGTGTGGGCCAGTTGGACAAGGCCACTGTTCCTGCCAGGACAGGAAGTGGGCTGGCACTGTCTGGGCTAAGGACCTACCAGTGTGCATAAGATCTGCTATTGGGAGAAGACCTGAGGGGAGCTTGGGGAACTCCTATGTCAAGACATACTCCCTGCAGGTGAATGCAATAACCAAGGCTTGGAGTAGCCCAGGCCAGGCTAGGTTACGGTACCCAACAGCATTTGTGTGGATCAGGTCTGGGGCAGGCCAGGCAGGGCAAGTTCATAACACCTATTAGCAGATCCAAGAACCAGGAAAGGGTGCAAGACAGGCCAGGTCAGGCTACAACATCATCCAGTTCACATTAGGGCTGGGACTGGGGGCTGTCTGGCTAGGCTAGGCTAGGCTAGGCTAGGCTAGTCTAGGCTAGGCAGTAAAACCCATCAGCATGAGCTGGAATAGGGGACAGACCGGGATAGACCAAGCTACAGCGCTTACCAGCAAATACCAAGGTGAAGCAGGCCAAGCCAGACTGGGCCACCAGCACATGAGAGACCCAGGGGGTGGGGGAGGAGCAAGCCTGGTAAGGGGGCTGCAGGAGGCTCCCCTGCTGGGCCACTGCTCCCACTGGCAAAGTATGAGAACTGGGATGGAGGCAGACCAGGCTGGGCAGGGCTACAACTCCTACTGGCCTGCACATGAACTGGGTTACAGGGACAGCCAGGCTGGGCTAACCAACTGTATCCACTCGGACATGCATGAGACAGAGTAAGAGCAGGTTAGTCTGGCTTTGACACAGCATCAGCTGGCAAGTGATGGGACTAGGGGCAAATCCTGCCAAGCTAGACTGTAGAACCACCTGAGAAGTGTAAGATTCAGGGTAGGGAGTGGGGCCAGTAGGGAAATGGTGAGCACCTCTCTGATGCATTGCCACTCTCAGTGGTGAGCCTGAGAACCAGGGCTAGAGGAGGGCCTGCCTAGCTAGGTAGTGGTACCCGCCAGCATGAGTATGAGCTGGATAGCAGGATCTGTTGAGTTGAGCTAGGCTTCAACACCCCTTGACATGTACAAGAGCTGAATGGGATGTGGGACAGAGCAGACTGGTCTGCTCCACATACTGGCAAGCATAGGAACCAGGGCTGGGGGTGGGCCTAGTGAGGGTTATTATGGATCACTCCAACTAGGCTGTAGCTCCTGCTGGTATATGTGAGGGCCAAGTGTGTGGTGCACAATGTTGCGCTGGGCCATAGCATACATTGGTTTACATAAGGGATGGGGCTGGAGACAGAACTGACCCAGCAATTGCAACTACCACGGACAGACCTGGACCCCGTATTGGCAAGCACATACAAGAATCAGGTCTGGGATCACTTCAGATAAGGTTTCTTTGGGTATCCCCCCCAACTAAACTGCTGGACTCAGAATTCCAACTATGGGGAGAATTGCAAGATCTGTGGTCTGACCATGGTATACATGTGTCAGAACTGGGCCTCCTCAGTGGCTTGAATGGAGCAGTGGACGCCATACCCAGATGTACATAGGAGAATATGGCAGACCGGCAGGCCTTCAAGAGCCCCTGCCAGGAGGGATTTTTAACCCAGTGCAGGTATGTACAGTGAGCACACTGGCTCTCTGGGGGGAGGGAAGCTCAATGGGCCTCCAGGACCACCCCATCCTGGAGGTTAGGTTTTTTAACCCACATGGGTGCCTGTACTGGATCATGTGTTCCCCCCCACACACACCCCATCCCCAGGAGGGCCTGGATGCCAAAAGCACTGGGCAAAGCCCCTTGAGCCACCCAGCAGTGCACCCTCACGCTTAGAGGGTCTTGATTTACAGGGGGATGATAAGACCACACAGGTGGCAGTGACAGATGATCTGTGGTGTTTATGCCCAGGCTAGGAATTACAGCTGAGGGACTTCCATAGTTAAGTCCACAACATGTATATGTAAGTAGGGAACTCACACCAAATTGGTTTGGAGCAGACAACAAGCACAAGAGAAGTGAGTCTGATAGCAGAGGGCCCGGCGGTGTGGCCTAGCAGCTAAAGTCCTCGCATTGAATGCCCGGGATCCCATTTGGGCACCGGTTCTAATCCCAGCAGCTCCACTTCCCAGCCAGCTCCCTGCTTGTGGCCTGGGAAAGCAGTTGAGGATGGCCCAAAGCCTTGGGATGCTGCACCCGTGTCGGAGACCCAGAAGAGGCTCCTGGATCCTGGCTTTGTATCGGCACAGCACTGGCTGTTGCACTCACTTGGGGAGTGAATCATCGGACGGAAGATCTTCCTCTCTGTCTCTCCTCCTCTCTGTATATCTGACTTTGTAAAAAAATAAATAAATAAATCTTAAAAAAACGAGAGAGAGAGAGATTCTGATAGCAGAATCTGTGGGAGCAATGTGAGCTCATTCCTGTGGAACCACAATCTCTGCTGGCTCTCCCAAGAACAGCAGATGGAGTCAGGCCTTGCTGGGGAGCTAAGGGGGCGCCCCAGCTGGGTGGGGTTCCCACTGGTGAGGACGAGAGTAGGACTGAAGGCAGCAGGTGTGGTTGGACATGGTTACAGACTGCACCGGTGCAGGTGTGCACTGGGACTGTGGAGCAACAGATCGGGCTTGACTCCAGCCCCCACTGGTACTTGTGAGAGCCAGGTTGGGTACAGAACAGGCCAGACTAGGTCTTGACTCCCCCTGAACTATGTGAAAGCTGTGTCTGGGCACGAACAAGGTAACACTGGGCTGCAACGCCCAAAAAGAACCAGAATGAGTGTGGCCAGTTGAACAAGGCCACTGTTCACAGAATAGGAGGTGGACTGTCAGTCTGGGCCAACGACCCACTGGTATGCGCGAGAACTGCCACTGGGAGGAGACTCGATGGAGCAGCTTGGGAAACTCCTTCATTGGGATGCAGTCCCTGCAAGTGAGTGCAAGAAGCAAGGCAAGGAGCAGCCCAGACCATGCCAGGTTACAGTACTCACCGGCATGCGTGTAGGTGAGATCTGGGGACAGACAAGTCTGGGCCAGGATCTGAGAACCAGGGCAGGGGGCAGGAGGAACCAGATCGGGCCACAGCACCAGCCAGTTCACATTAGGACTAGGACAGCAATCAGGCTGGGCTGATAGGCTGCAGCACCCACCAGCAGGAGCTGGAACATGGGGCAGACTAAACTAGGCCAGGCTACGCAGTAAGATTGCAGACACTGAGGTGAGGCAAGTAATGCCAGCCTGGGCTCAGCAAGGGCCAGGTATGTGAGTCCCAGGGACAGGTGATCTGACAGGGCTCGGGTAGCTTGGCTCAGGTCCTGAACCCACCTATGCGGTAGGGGCTGGGTTCCTGAGCCCTTGGGATGGGGGAACTGGTGGGATTTGGGTCACTTGGCCCAAATCCTGGGGCCCGCCTTCTAGAGAAAGGAAAGAACATACCTCTGGCTTCACAAGGTCAAAGAACTCCAGGTGAAACTCATAGACATTGTCTCCTTTGGCACCGTGTCCCTGGGCTATAGAGAAAGCAATGGGGGTTATTGTGAACTTGAGCAGAACAAGGTCAGCCAAAAAGCATTTTGGTACAGTCCTTTCATAAATACACAAAGAGTAATGGGTCCTCCTGAAACCTATGGGAGCTCGTGAGCAAAGCTCCACAACAGCTACGTAAGCCAGAAGGTTCTCACCCTATGTCCTCTGACGATCAGTTCCCATCACCTACTTCATCTCTCAAAGCCTTAACAACAAATAATAGTAACAGGCAGCAAAAATAATATTGAAAGCAAACCCAAATTTGTCACATTAATATAAACTGAACTTTCACAAAAGAATCAAGTGTATAACATACCTTCTTGCTTGTGGCTAAGAAAAGCTGTCCTAAAGACAGCTCTGAATTTAAAACCTCCCAATCAGGACTAAGCTCACTTTTTTAACACCTCCCAGATGGAACAGAAAGACGAAGACAGCTGAGGGGGGAGAGGGGCATAGGTGGAACTGAGAGGGAAGTCCCTGGATTAGAGCCATTACCCTACCCCAGTGCACAGCAAGCAGGTGCCACACCCAGAGCCCAGATGCTGCATGGCTCACCCAGTTCACTCTGATTCATTTACTATTTAGTTCTCTTCTAGGATCCTCTTCCCCACTCTGGCCACCTGCTTAAGTGTACTATGCACGGTAATTATTCTTAAAGTTATAAATCCCTTAAGGTAGGATCTTCTATAAGTTCCTGGGAGGCAAGAATCACTTTTATCACTTTAACTTGCTTCTGAATGTCCTACGAACATGGAGTGGTTTCTTTAATCTTGAAAAGCAGATACAGAAACCAGGTTACACTTCCATGCAAATGTACTAGGGCAGAGGGACTCTCGTGCAAAACAGGAACTCTCTGTTCTTCAATAACATCAAAAACTAGAACCAACAGAGAACCACTCGGCTCCACTGTGTGACAGAGCAGGGAAACCTTCCCTTGCAGGCACAACAGGACACTGCTGCTGGACAGGGGAGAGGCAGAGCCACAGAATCAGAGCATCAGACCTCATGCAGAGGGCAGTGTTTCTCAGACTGATCTGCAGGTGTAACATCAGAGAGCCCCAGAACTCACCAACGACATTTCAATTTTTAAATTCATGCTCTTTTTTTTTTTTTAAACCAAGCAGCACTCCCCAGCTCATCTAAATGGCCAGCTTAGAATCAAGGCCTGCCACACAAGGTCAGTGCCCTGTGTGTCCACGTTCAGAGCTATGGTTGTGCCAAACAGCCATTTCAAGAGATATCAGTCCCTCACATGTTGCTCAACCAGGTCCTATGGGCACTTTCTCGTGTATCTGTGGCTTCTTAGGTTTGAGAAACACAGATCATAACCCAGCACTTTCACCTTCTAACAGCATTCAAGCAATAACTTGTCTGAGGTTGTGACAGAATTATAGCTAAAAGACACTCTTGATTTCCAGTTCAGGATTCGTTCCTCCCCCCTCCAAAACCATATCTATTGCCTTGTCCAGTGGTTTTAAACAAGCTTTGCCTTTTCTAATCTTATCTTTTAAAATCATTGACTTGACCCCAAGAGCATCAGAGACATGAGCAGCAATGAACATGTAGAACATGTAAACCATGTAAGACCATCCAGTGTCCTGAACTGTGCAGAAAGTTGAACACACCTGCCCAGGTACTGACCTTTGAAATGCAGCACATTTTCAGTGATGCTGATCGCAGGGTTCTGCAAAAAAAAAAAAAAGAAAGAAAGAAAATAAGAAAAAGAAACCGGCAGGAAAGCTTTTTAACAAGAAAAGTGAAACGAATCCAGGTGTTTCTTCTCACCTTCCTCCTACTTTCCCCGTGCGATTCAACCTCTTACTCTGTGTCTCCCCACAGACTACATTTACATGGTTATTCACGTATTTGGAGGTTCCTACAAGAAGGACCCTAACTGTGCAGAACAATCTAGAACCAAATCAGTCCCTTCTGATTATGTAAAGCATGCAAGGTGCACAGTAAAAACTAAGCGATAACATACAACTCTCAAAGCCTGGGTCCCTGAGTGTAGAACATGAATCCAGTAGAACAGACAAGTCATTTCTAGCAAACACTTGTCATGGCACATACCCGTAAGACCAGCAGAGTAGCCGAAGGCAGTAAGTATGTGGGAGTCAGAAAAGTAAGCCCAATGGGAAGAGTGGCTGGGGAAGGCTTTGCTAAAGGTGGGACCTGCAATGCATGCAGAAAATTAATCTCCACGGGGACAGGAAAGGGCTGAGGATGACAGGTGGCTGAAGGAAAATAGGATGTTCAAGTTTTATGGCCCCAACCAACTCAAGACCTGAAGAGTTCAAAATTTTCCAATCTGTTCATTTAATCCCAGAAGGTACATATACCCCCTACATACATTTTAGCAGCATAATTTACAGTGAAACTACTTGAACACGTGGTTCAGTAGCAGAAAACAAGCAAAAGGTAGCATGCTGATTGCTTGGTTTTGTCTTGTGTTGGGAGCTTTCTGTGCTCCATCATTCATCAGAGGAAACACCTCGATGGACAGAGGGCTGGAGAAGCCGGTGCACCGAGAGACCTTGGGGGCCTCAGTGCTCTATCTATAGCCAAGAGGGCTAGGAAAAGCGGGGGTGGGAGGGTTGGAGTGAAAGTGCTGTGGGAGGAGGAACAACTGAGCCAGGCTTTAGCGAAGAGCTTTCCCAGCAGGAGTAGAGCCTGCAGGCTCAAGAGCTTGCCCTAGGGGCTGGAAACAAACCTGCTCCTCTCAGTGCTATAGGACTGAGGGAACCTCACCTGAACAGGCTGCCTGGGAAGAGGGATGGTTCCTCAGTAAGAGGAACACTTTCTCCATGAAAAAATTGCATGGAGGCTGGGGTTCTGGGATATGTTAGAGGTGGATCCATTCCTGTGGCCCCCACACTCTCACTGAGCTGGAAGGAAACAGAAGTTTGGGTGCCCAGGTTTAGTAGCCTCAGGCAGAGATGTGTCAACCTAGGCTTAAGTGCCCAGCTACAGCACAAGCTGTTCCCGGAAATCAGGGAACAGCTCTGTGAGCCACAGGTTTCAGTAAAAACAGGCAGTTCCTGCAGCCCAGGGATGTGGGACCAAAACCCCTGATCTACATATGCAATCTAGTTCAGACAATCATGCCAAAAACATTTGATTATTCCAGCTCTTTACTATAACATTAAAAAACCCCAAAATCTGGAGGGCTAATAGTAAGTATTTTATTACTTCACCTAATTCTGCAGGTTTACAGGGCCCAGCCAGCCAGATCTGCTACACATGATGATTAGTACAGAGCTGGACTGAAACTGGAGTCTAGCACCCATACTGGATGCCAGCAGTGTAGATGGTAGTTTCTTAAGATTTTTTTTTATTGGAAAATTAGATATACAGAGAGAAGGAGGAGGAGGAGAGGGAGAGAGAGAGAGAGAGAGGAAGATTTTCCATCTGCTAGTTCACTTCCCAAGTGGCTGCGATGGCAGGAACTGAACTGATCCAAAGCCAGGAGCCAAGAGACAGGAGCCAGGAGTTTCCTCTGAGTCTCCCAAGTGGATGCAGCATCCCAAGGTTCTGGGTCATTCTCGACTGCTTTCCCAGGCCACAAGCAGGGGAGCTGAACGGGAAGTGGAGCAGCTAGGATATGAAACAGTCAGTGCCCTTATGGGATTCCAGTGCGTGCAAGGCGAGGACTTAAGCCACTAGGCTACCACACCAGGCCCTACACAGCAGTTTTAGCAGCTACATCACAGTGCTGGCACTCATATTAAACATTTTTGACAAAAGAAAATTTTTTCACAGGTGATATGGGTGCTTAGGGCAGCACAAAACTCCACACTGTCAGATGGTGATGTCAAATTTGCTGACTTCATTGAAAAGGTGACTGTCAGAGCTCTCTGCTATGAAGATGCACTTTCCTTTTGCTGTCAGTAAGTGACTTACTAGAACCTGCTGAACCTAAGTCAACCTTTCTGTAAGGTTAGAGTTCAGGTTCAGAACCAGAAATTCACACAGAATAGAGTTCAGCTTAAAACAAGCTTTACTGGGAGCACTCCTGGGCAGGGTTCCTTGGTCCAGTACAGAGAGCACGCCAGGGAAGTCACGACCAGGGGACATGATGGGTTGTTTTTATCAAGAGGATGTAGAGGTGTGGGGGTGGGGGAGGGGATAAAGGAATGTGCCTTTTAGAGTGTCATAGGCTCGCTTCGACCTTGGTGGATCTGCAACTGCTGGCCAAGCAGGGAGCTGCCTTCTTCCAGTGCGGCCTCATCAGCCACTCTTCTCAGCCTCCTCCTAGGCCGCCCCTCACCCACCCCGACTAAGCCTTACACTTTCTATTGCTAATCCTTGTCTCAATCTACTTTACACTAAAGGTTACAAAATGCTCGTTTCCGGGCCTGGAACAATGGCCTAGCTGCTAAAAGTCCTCACTTTGAACACACCAGGACCCCACATGGGTTCTAATCCAGGTGGCCCCACTTCCCATCCAGCTCCCTGCCTGTGGCCTGGGAAAGCAGTCAAGGACAGCTCAAAGCCTTGGGTTCCTGCACCCACATGGGAGACCCGGAAGAGGCTCCTGGCTTTGGATCGGCTGAGCTCCAGCCATTGCAGCCACTTGGGGAGTGAATCACTGAATGGGAGATCTTCCTCTCTGTCTCTCCTCTTCTCTGTATATTTGATTGTCCAGTAAAAAAATAAATCTTAAAAAAAAAAGTGGCCACCTGACTGAAGAATAAAGACATTTAACTCGCCTTGGAGTCTCACTCGACTTCTTTGAGCCCCAGCTTTCCCCAACAGTGGCACAAAGCCATAGCTAAAATATCACAATCAGGATAAGGACACTGACACAATCCACCTACCTTACTCAGGTGTACTCAGTTGTATTCATTTTCATGTGTGTGTGTGCACACACACATGCTTAGATCTATGGGAAGCTTATTACAAGGGTGAGTTTCAACTATTCACCATCACAGTCAAGGTATCAAACAGGTTCTGATCCCACGTGGCACCCCTTTCAACCACATAACCACATCCACTTTCTGCCTCTCTCCCCAACCTTGGTCTTCATTTGCTATTACCATGAACACAGGGTTTTCTTTTCTGAATCCACCCTGCAAAATCTGTTACTCTTCTTTCTTATTGTTTCAAAAACAATGAGACAGTGACACGAGAGAGACAATCCCATCCACTGGTTTGCCACCCCAAATGCCTGCAACAGCCCAGACTAGGCATTAGCCAAAGCCAGCAGCTTGCAACATAATCCAGGTCCCTTTGTGGTTGGAGACCAATCACTTGCACCATCATTGGCAGAAAGCCAGAATCAGGAGTGTAGTGGGAATTTGGACTCTGGCATTCCAACATGAGATGCAGGTGTCCCACGTGCTGTCTCAACTGCAAAGCCAAAAGTCTACACAACTTTAGGTGTTCAAATTTTCCTAAATTTGGCCAGCACACATCCCCCTTAAACTAGCTCTTGCATTGTTCGGACATGACTTTGTACCCATTGAGGATTCTGTAGTTTCTGCAGCAAGGACTTGGGACAACTTGCTATTTCTTCAAGGAGCCTTGGGTCCCCTTCGAGAAGAGTGAACAATTACAAGCATACTCAAGGTTCCTCTTTGAAGGGTCTTGCTAGAGAGTTTCATTACTTCTTATTGATTTGAAAAGCAGGGTAACACACAGAGAGAGAAGGAACAGAGGGAGAGAGAAATTTACCGTGCAAATGTTCACTGTTCAAATGCCAGCAACAACTGGGACTGTGTCAGGCCACAGCCAGAAACTAGGAATGCCATTCAGGTCTTGCCAATGGAAAGATGGGACCCAAATATTAGGTCCCATCACAGGCACATCTGCAGCCAATCAAACTGCAAATGGATGAAGGACTTGACCCTAGGAACTCCAACATCAGATGTGGCCATCCCAAGTCTAACTGTAACCCCCTGTGGCACAAAGTCTGCTCCCAACTGCAATGGGGTTGATCCTGGTTGGGGGCTAGCCACCGCTTGTTGGGTTTACAACAGACAGCAAAGGGCCTCCTTCCTACCTCCTCTCACTCCATTCAAGTTAACTGAATGGCAGAAACCTGCTCAGGTTGCTCCTCAGTATGCCCTGCCTCTCTTGCCTCCTGCTCCATTCAGCACAGAAATGGTTCAGAGTTCTACAGGTGCCAGGTCCCTCCCGCCTCCTATTGTGCTAGGTTAGGTTCCTTAACTACAGGAAAACTTTGGACTCTGGCAGCTCCCTTCCTGCCTCCTGTACTTAGTAACTGAATACATGGAAACTTTGTTCTATATGACTCTCAATCTGACTGGAGGATGACAGCTTAAAAATCTGTGACTTCTGCTACCTATCATAGTGGTTCCTCAAGTGTAGTGGGAGCTGCTGGCCAACCTTGGGAAATAAAGACACTCCTGACATTCTACAGTTGTGCCCGGTGTAATCTCTCTCACTCCGCAGCACCAATCAGGAATTTTTGAAAACATGATGTCATCATACTAAAATCTCCAGCTCAAATTTACTTTCTTTAAAAAGTTTTGATTTATTTGAAGGCGGAATTAGAGACAAGCAGAAACAGATGTTTCATCCACTGGTTCACTCCCCAAATGGCCACAAGTTAGGGCGCAGTGACCCAAGCTCTTGGGTCATCTTCCACTGCTTTTTCTCAGGGCATCAGTAGGGAACTGGATCAGAAGTGGTACAGCTGAGACTTGAACCAGCACTTACAGG